GATTTCTTTGATGAGGAAGACCATAATGAACACAGAAAAGAACAGCCCTTTTAAAGTCCTGAACGTATACGGTTGTCTTGATAAAATCAAGATAAATGCATTCTTAGATAAAAGAGTTCTTATCCCAGAGGGCAGAATGTGAGCACCAGAAGTTGAAAGCAGAATTGACTGCGCTGTACTGGATAAACTTTCTCTAACTTCTCACTTCACAAACCTTAACAGATTTGAAATTAAAACTGCTTAATATATAAATATTAGCTTAAGAGACAAGTGCCCCGAAGGCCAGAAGGCAGACATTTTGATCACTTTTATGAAAAATATTTGTACTACTCCAGATCATGACAGGCAATTTTAGGTACACAATATCAATTTATTGTGAATTTTAGACCCTTTGTAATTTTAAACGTTTAATATATAAAATTGATCCTTTCTAACCCAAAAGCAACATTTAGCAAATAAGAATAATTTCAAACCTTTTATTAAAGCATAAGCATATTAATAAAAAAGAGATTTTTTTCTGTTAAAAGAAAGTTGAATTGGTATCTTTATGTTTTTATTGATATGTATCCTATTTTGAATATGATTTTATTATACGCTTTAAACCATAGTCAATGCTATCTAAAATGTCTACTCCGAAAATAAAAGGAAGGAGGTATATTTAAATTTTCAATTATCACATGATCGGAAAATGGTAAGTATGAATTTTACATACTCTTTGGTAAATAAAAAGTTTATTTGCTAGATATTAAATTTTCATATCACTTTTTGATGAGCCGAAAACAGTTTTTCGAAACATCTTCTTTAAATGATTCTTTTCGCAAAAGATCATTCAACCTTTTCTGTTAGCCCAGATGAAGACTGTGTGTGTGTGGCCGATTATTCCATCGGTTGTCTTAAAAAATGGAGATCGGTATAACAACTTAGAATCGTGAATCTGGGAGATTGCTGTATTAAACCTGTATGAATGTGCACAAATAAATAATTATAACTATTAAAATTTATTTGACGTGATAGAAAAGGCTGATGATGTTTTGGACTTCACGAAAAAGTCCTTCTGGTGTTCTAAAATACGCCCGTTAATAATACGGGAATCGGTACACCGAATTGGGAGTGTGAATACGGGGGTTATTGAGTTAAAGTCGTATGGGTAAATGAATAAATAGTTATTTTTTAAATCAAAGACAAATTCTTTCATCACAATATGTTTTAAGTCCTTGAAGAGCAGTTCTTCCAAAAATTAGTTGGAATTTCGACGGGCACTAATTGTGCTCCTTTACTAGCCGACCTTATACATACATATACATACATACATACATACATACATACACACACACACACACACACACACCCTCACACACACACACACACACACACACACACATATATATATATATATATATATATATATATATATATATATATATATATATATATATATATATATATATATATATATATATATATATATATATATATAATATATTCCTATGTAGCAGAAGAACTTTTACAAGAGAAGAAACACTTGCTGTGGCTTTCAACGCGACATTTCAGACGATGTTTTATGAATAACAATAACTACTTCTATTCATATGTCGACTCGATATATCCAAGTAAACTTGATATAAATGATGCAAGAAGTCTTCCACATCCGTTAAATGTTTTATTGATTATAGACGATAAGGGGCAACTTACAACTAAACTGTATAAAAAACAAGAAGACCAGCCTTTCCATCGTCAACTTTCCTTATTTATGTAGTAATACTCTACAGCAACCTTCACATGGTGTTCATGTCTTTTAACCTATTCTATACTCAGGAATAGGCTCTGATACGATCATTTTTATATCGAGCAGGCTTTTGTCAAATAAGTTAATGTTAATGTTAATGGACTCCAACATAAACGTTTGTCAGTATTTTGTGAAATCTAAGGTCGTTATAATTACCTTGTTTGCAAATACAACCTATTATTGGGTCACACTTTTATTAACCTATTTCATACAGGCCTCTGTTTTATACATAATTTGACTGGGGATATTCCGTCTACCTGATCAATACATAGGGCTCACAACAGGTGTGGACGGTCGACAGAGGATACCTATTCCTCCTAGATACCTGATCCCATCTCTGGGGTTTCTGAGGGTCCGTGTTTTATGCCCTATTCACTGATATGTATTGCTCATCCGGAAAACGATGTTAAATTAGTGAGTGTTACGTTACAATAGACCTTAAGCTTAAGTTCAGCTCTCATATCACAAAGATTTGTAAGAAAACTTCTTTTAAACTAAATGTCCTCAAAGTAATATAGGTACACCTGACCAAATTTTAAAAATTTACAATCTATTATACATTCAGCATGTCAAACATCAACTACTACCACTAGTTTGCCATATCCATGGCGTACAAGAAACAAGAAAAAAAAAAGAAAAAGAAAATGCAGGGAAAAAATGCATTTCTTCGATGACGTTTTCAAAAATTCAAATAATATCTTCTTCAAAAATCAAAACTACCATGAAATATGGAGATTACGAACAATATTCAAGCTCAAAGTCCATTTACATGTAATTAATACAAATCTATAAATGAAATATGAAGATAACGAACAGTATTCAATCTCGAAAGTCCAATTAAACGATACAAATGTGGAGCAAAGCAAACATGGACCTCAAAAACATCTCCTTGAAAAAAAGGGTAACAAGCAAAGTATGACTAGTGCTTTTTTGTGGGAAACATATAACTGAAAATAATAATTAAAGCTTGTTATGAATTTAATTCGTGGAATCTTATTTAAAAAAAATTAGAATGTAAGGAGATGAATTAAGAGATAATTTGTTTTGTGTTAAAATCAGATTTAGTAAAAGATTTCAAATCATTGATTTACTTTAAAGAAGTCACCTTAACATGTTGGAAGATCCCCATCCCACCTCTGACACTCTATCTTACGTTTACCAATGAGGGAATTTCCTTTATAACTGTGGAATTCACATCTGCTACCATATCTTCCATCGTAATCTGTACATACTCTAATTACGCCATGATCCAGATCAAGACGGGGGCTTCAAAACAGATATAAAAAAGAGTTTAAATCTTTCATACATGTAGGGATTGAAGATAAAAAGTTAAAATTATTTTTTTTTAGATCTGCAACGTTAATTTATCCGTTGATTAAGTAAGTAGAATATGAAAATTGTTTGTTTGTCTGTTTGTTTGAGAGAGAGAGAGAGAGAGAGAGAGAGAATCTACTAAATCGAAGAAGCACGTTTCTGTTTCCACTAAAATGGCGTGCGTAGTAACCTATTTGTGTATGACCTTGAAAGTTATCCTAGTCTTTTCTGAACCCTGAAAGTTTGAAAAAAAATGTAAAAAATTAAAAGTTAACATCTGTTTAAAGAAAACATTCATTAAGCAATGAAGAGTTTCATTACATGAAATACTGCAAGGAAAATCTTTCAGTCTAGGTTTTTGACCCCTTTCAAACAGAAAACTTTACAATGGATAAAGTTTATTTCCTGTATTAAATTCTTACCTTACATCCTCTGTATCATATGCGAGGGGCTCTGTTAAAACAACACTGGTACGCTTCCCGTTGTTTGTCTTTACCAACCCAAGACACTTGTAGGTGTTTCGTAAGCGTAAATCAAGCTATTGAATTGTCAGAATATTGCTAAAATCGGTCAATTATCTCTAAAGTGTATTTAGGTAAGTGTATTTAAACAAATAATAATCAATTAAGTATTTCAGTACAAAATTAAAAAATGGTTCAAGAATATTTAAACAATAATTATAAGTATTACATCTAAATACTTTAAGGGCAACTGTTGATGTGCTACTTTGAAATTTTGTTTACCGTACAACTATATAAAAATCTACCAACCCTAATACGCAGTATAAACACAGATAACGAAAGATATCCATTGTTGACGAAGAATTCAGCTTCAGTGGCTTGTTTACCTTTTTTTAATTAAAGAAGTGAGTGCTGAGAGCAGCTTTACATGCTTTTTTTTACATGTTGAAGTGTTTGTTAAGTGCCAATATCATGTCGATATAAGGGAGAATTTTCTTTGCCATATCTAGAAGAGATGACCTTTCTTGTAAAGGTAAGTCAATTCTTCAACTCTTTTTCGTTCAAATCATAATCAACAAAAGAAATATCTCCCATCTAACTTAATCAGAGAAAATTAATGAATTGTAAATGAAAAATATATTTTATCTGAATGAAATTAATTTTGCAAATTGTCTTGTATATGTTGGTAAAATCAAGAGTGCAAGATATAATTACATGTAGAAATAATAATAATTAAAAAAAAACAAAGATGATTTTTGTAAACAAAAAGAAATTTAAAAGAGAAAAACTTGCATTTCCTTTATATTCAAAATATATGCTTCATCCAAACCTCTCATTTTCCAGTAGTTAAAAAATATTAATGTTTCATCATTTATTTTGTCATAATTCCTTCGATTTTTTATTTGGCCTTCTTTTAAAAGTTATATAATAATAAAACTTAATTTAAAGAAAATAAAAGTAAAAATTGTCAATTTATTTGCATGTTTAAATGCAACATAAAATGCATTTTATGATTTTCTTTTTAATTTAGTTAGTTTCAGATACGTTCCAGAAATTTTGTCAGCGGTCTTTTTGCTACAAGTGATAGAAGTCTTATAGTTTATAATGAATCAGTAATTTTTCTCTGATTAAAGAATTTGAAAAAAAAATCTGGGTTATGTATATTACTCATGCATCAATGAGACGTTGTCAGAAATGTCACTGAAATTACATAAGTGCATGTACTTATACGTTTGCGAATTTCGGGCGCCAAAGTACGTCCTGGAGGTCCTTCAGAATATGAATTTTGCATGTACATTTCTTCACAACTTTTTATTACGTCGTATGAAAAAAATTATGTCCCAGCAAAACTGTAAAATTTTAATCTATGTTAATTCATCTAACTTAAAATGAGTCTTAAATGAGTTCCTAATTTCTGTTATATTACAGAATATAAAAGATCCACGGAAAACAACTGATTGTATACGGTGAAAGTATCAGAGGATATTTTATAGTTATATTCTGAGATATATTTATTAGAGAATGCTCTCGATAATGCTCTACACAGCTCTCTTGCTGTTGATTTTCATTACGAAAGTGGAACCTGGTAAGTATGTATGATTGTATACGTTAAATATGGGAATAGATTTCCTTAAAATAATAATTTTAATAAAGTTGATGATTCTGTTTTGGTTTGAACATATTTTTATTGAATTAATCAAAAGGATTAGAAACAAGTTCTTATAACTTACTGGTCCTTATATATAACAATATTTCATGCAAATAATACATTAAAATATAATATTTTCAAGTGATATAAATGAATAAGACGTCAATTTAAAATCTACATGTTTCATCAATAAATTCATGGAGAGCAACAAAAATATTGTTATTAGTTAGTACAGGCATATCTTTATCACCCAATAATAACAGGATTGTGGCAATTGTAACCAATTCTTCAAGCAAAAACAGGTGGTTGAAAAGATTGTTCCTTGCATTTGCATAATTTCTTCAAGCAAAAAAAAAAAAAAGTAATAATAATGATAAACTTCTTCATACTTTCCGCATAAACAAAGGGGACTGTTGATGATTTTGCGTTTATATAGATCATAATTAAGTAAACAGTTGTGTCTTAGTTTAGTATGAATTATGTTTGTATAGCGTTTGCCAAAAGAAAAAATACGTTGGCGGATTGAAGATTTTTGTACAAGCTCTTATAAGTTTTTACGGAATGAATTAATTGAAATGGCTTCTCTTGTTTCTAATGTTAATAAGTTCCATTGTTTCACAGCGTCTGGTACAAATGATCTTTTGAATAGTTCTAATGATGATTCTAAATTTCCATAATTTCTCCCTAGTCCCAGATATATCAAGGTTTTATATACACAAATAGCAAACATTATAATGTAGTGTTTATTTCCCACATGAAGGATTTTTAATTCCTATTTGTAGGACCCTGTCGAAATGAAGTTAAAACATACCGTATATCTGAATCTTTTGCAGCCATCTTATTTTATACTATCATTTTAACTTTTATCTTACAGATTGCGGTGACACTGCTGCTGATATTGTTTTTATTTTGGACTCTAGTGGAAGTGTTGGGTCAGGCAATTTCGAAAAGACTAAGGAATTTTTCAAGGCAATGGTAGATGGATTTCAAATTGGTTCTAAAACCGTCAGAGTCGGCGCTGTGCCCTTCAGTACATCTGTTCATAACACATTTCAACTTACATCATTTTATTCTAAATCTGCTTTAAAATCTCGTATTTCCAACATCCCATATGACAGTGGTTCTACAAACACAGCTATGGCCATCCGGTATGCACGAACGACGAGCTTTGGGGCATATAGTAGGAATAATGTTCCCAAACTAGCAGTTATCATAACTGACGGACAATCCGACGGCAAGTCTAGCACTTTGTCTGAAGCTCAATTATTACGTAACAATGGCGTCATCATCTTCTCTGTTGGTGTCGGTGACGGTGTGGATATGTCTGAACTTCAGGGAATGGCAACAAAAACTAGTTACGTATTTGATGTGTCTACCTTTAGTGCCTTGAATTCAATTCGGGATAAACTAGCAAAAACAACTTGTGAAGGTAATCATAAATAATACTATATACAGGGAAATTTTCGCCCCGTTTTATTTTCGACCCTTTCGCCCTCGTTGCTCTTAGGCGAATTTAAAACGGGGCGAATAAAAAAAAGACTTCATATATATATACATGTATATATATATATATATATATATATATATATATATATATATATATATATATATATATATATATATATATTAACAACGTCCTCTTATGATCCATTCTAATTTGCAAATATGTGATGAAATCCTCCCCCGGGGCTCAGCACAGGGGGTCAAAATCTCTTTTTGTGGCCATTACGCATTTTACGCCATGGCTGTGGAAAAGATATACATGTAAAACTATTCAATTTTTTCTGTGTTTTATATATAAAATATACACATACAGAATATATGCTACAAACAGTTATGTAATTCTTATCTTCGTTGTGAGGCACTTTACAAAAATCTTCCCAATACGCGACTTCCGAGATACGTTTCCGACCCGATTTTTACATCACGCAAAAGTGAAATGTAGGGCATGTTTACTTCCGTTTTCACCGTAAACGATGGCGTCATTAGATACAGACTGCGATTACGACTATAATTTCAATTCTTGGCAAGTGCCTATGCTGAAAGACCTTTTATCCCTTAAAGGTATAGCTTTTTCAATATATTTAAAACATCATTTGATAAGACTTTGTGAACTGGGAGTTGAAATTCAGAAGTGGCAGATGATTACAGGGTGGTGATGTCAAACTGTTGGAGATAAAGTTTTCCGAAATATAACAAGTGTTTATAGGTGGTCTGAAGATCTCATAAAACTGCCGAACATTGAGATTTCCGATGTTTTCATAAAACTTTTGAACGATGGCTGGAGTACGTCATTCTCGGTTGAAAACATAGACAGAGACAAGACAATGGATACAGACTAAAACAACCACGTTGATAAAGTGAAAGTGTCCCCCGTCTGATGATTTTCAGTACATCAAGTGTGACACAGTTCCTGAGATCCGTACAAGACCTGGATATTTGTTGAGGGCAATGGACAGATTCACTCAGGTGGATGTAGTGTAAATATTCAGGTTTTCACATTATGACTACAGATTCTCCAGTAGGATTTAAAGCAATAATTATCAAAAATGTTATTTCATAAAGATATACTAATGTTCATTAAAAAAACATACACAGAGGGAGCCCTGTCTCAGCCTACAAGCATTTATGATTATGTAAATTGCTCAATACACTATTCATGTCATGGAATTTCATATTCAATACTTCGATCATCACTTTGAACAAAAGTTCTCTTGATTTTAGAGATGATGGGTCGTGTAAGCACTGTACGGCTTCGATAATTGCTGTGGCTTCATTCTGTGAGAGGCACAAAGACTATCACACTCAAGTCGGAACAGATATTCCATGTGTTTGGGACAATTTGTTAAGCCTCATCATGTCATCTCATCCTGTATTGGCCAATTACATAAATCTACAGGACTATACAAGAGAAGAACCTGAAGTTAGCACTCACCATTCAATAAACAACCCATGCAAGTCCTTGAACAACCTCTATGAAAGAAATTGAAGAAAAAAAATTGTTTCAGCTCCTGTGTTTTTACACAAAATGTGGATTTTTCTGTGAGCAAATACATTAAGATCCTTTGATATTTGAGGAAATTGTACAAAAATGTGAATATTTCTTCAACAAACATTTGAAAGTTGCAATTATGTCTCTCTAAGTATAGCAGAGTAACAAATTTGTGAATGAGATAAGCATGTAGTGCATACTAATTTATGGCATTCTTGATTATAACAGTGAGGAAAAACTTAAAACACTTTTGGTCTAAGGTACAGGCTTCATTAATATTCATAATTTATTGATGGCAGAATACCTGAACTGATAAATATAAATTAGGAACAACAATAAAATATTTCAATCATCATGATCATATGATTAAATTCTTTCAAAAATAAATACAATATGTACATTACAGTTTGTATCAGACCTGGGGTAATGGTAATGCATTGTAATCATTACATTTTTTCAAAGTAATTGGATGTAATGTGTAATGGACTCATCTTTCAATTACAAGTAATTGTAATGTTATGCATTAATTTAAATAAAAAAATGTCAGTAATGACCATTACCTTTAAGTTACATTTTGGTTTTAAATCTCTCTTCATTATTGAATCTGAAACAAATAAAGGTCACTGAGAGGTTATTTTTTTTTATTTATAATGTTAAAGTCTTAAAATTAAAATCCTATATCTTACTTTAAAAAAAAAAAATGTTTTACTTTATTCAGTGGTGATTGACAGACATACTAAATAATTGTTTTGATGGAAAACTTCTTGACAAGACAGTTATAAAATCAATTGAAGAAAGCCAGAATTTTTTTAAAAAAAGAAATCATTAGGTTTCAGAGAAGCCACAAAACAAGTGACATTAATACATTTATTTAAAAAAAAGGGAGGAACTAACATCAGAGACTCAACAAAACTACAACATTAAAAGTGTTCCGATCCACTTTCTTTGTCAACTGTAGATCATGGTAGATTGGTAAACTACATGAACATGATAAATGAATACAAAATCCAAATACCACTCTGACTTACAGACCTGAGGGAAAGCATATCAACCAAAGTATAGATATAAATTGTGTGGTCATAGAATTTGTGTTTTTCTCTTATAAAATGTAATGTGTAATGTAATTCAAAAAATTTCGAAGTAATTGTAATTTGATGCATTACATTTAAAGTAATTGACCCCAGGTCTGGTATATATTAAGATGCCTTTATGGAATGAACATTCATATACATAAAAAAGATCTTATTCTTTTGATTTAATTTACATGTAAGCACTTGTTTCAGATGTCATATTATGTGCATAGCTACTATTCATGATCATAGAGCATTCATGAACAAATCTTTGGATAGTACAATTATATCATCATATGTAGATCATTATTCGTTTGTCAAGTGGTGATACAAGAGGGAGTGATTCCAACAAGGCACTTTAATGTGTTATGGCACTTATAGTTATTGTATATTTGATGCTGTGCTGTAGGGGTACGTGGCCGCTGAACAAACATCTCTGTTCAGTCGATTACTCTGAACTCTTGTCCTAGGAAAAGCTTTCTTGAACGAGTGTGGCATGAATTTCCTTACTTGTGCTCTTGAAGGCCATTTAATTTGAGGTCCAAATACCTATATAAAATACATTTACATAGTAATACTTTTCAAAGTCAGAATACTAGTATTCTGTGTGAATTATATTAAATTATTTGTGAATCTAAATAATTATATAAACATGTATATAATATATTTACCAATTACCAGTAATTAATTTATTTAAGGAAATAAACCATTTGTAATATAATAAGAAAATTAAGATATTTTCATAAAATATTAACAATATTTAGATTTTTATTTGAAACTTAGACAAATTAGTGAACTTGCAGTTTGAATCTTATATTTCTTAGTAACACACCCTATATATGAGATTAATCCATGAGCTAAATATTTGGTATACCTGCCTCTCGGCTACCCCAAAAAAGTTAGCAAGTAAAGAGGTGTTGAAACCAAGTCAAATTCTGAGGAGTGTCATCAACTCAAGAATTCTTCGAATCTAGCTTCCTGGATGGCCCTGTTTTTTTTTTTTACATTGACCCTCTTCACACTTCTTCTCTGTTGATGTAGAGGCATATATGTATATTCATAGCGGTTGTATTCGCATATGCATGCTGACGTTTTTCTATGGAGGTGGTTTCTATTTTGGAATCTTGAAATTGTAGCGACTAAATAGGGTGGGGATAGGATTGTTTTCAGTGGGACAGCCATCTGCAAAATGTAGGGAACAAACGGAGTGGTATAGTTCAGGGGAAAACTCCTCATCTCGAAAGACCTGCTGAGGCCACTGCCTTCGTTATTTGAGTTTCCTCTTAAAATTGGACGCCTTGCATCCAAGGATAAGTGCCTCAACTGGCTTCCCGTCTGCTGAACACCCTGGCAAAGAACACCAGTAGTGGCTGGTAGTACATGTATCTGTGTTTTTCCTTTTTTTAAGACGTCGAATAATTTCGTCTGCTTAATATTTCGTTGCGATGTATCATTCGCCATTACAATGCCCTACATTTCCTTATTATCACGTGACTGCTCTGTGTAAAAGTCAGCCGTAAACCACGATTCCGGCGTATCTCGAAAGTTCCGTATTTAGACATTTCTTTGACATTCTGAACACTTAACAATTGTATTACTTAAGACGCATGGTTTTTGAACATAATATTGTTTGTTATATTGTTTTCTGAGATCAGGATATTTAGGATACTTCATTATAAAAAAAATATCATCTTCAACATATTGTTTTTTCTATTTTCATCAACATTTCTACCCTCTTCAAATCGTTATTTATGACTAGACAGTCTAAAGCATGCGATATTTTTTTTTCTATGACACACTCCCTAGGAGTCTCAGAGCGAACAAAAGACAACTTAAACCAAGCTTATCAAAGTCATTCTTAATTTCAGTAAAACATTTGTCATCATTTCTTATTCTCTCATCATAACTTGTCCTTAATATACATTTTTTTTATTTTTTAAGTTTAAGACAATATTTCACTATTCGGAGTTTCACTGAAAGGTACAGATACATTCTACCTAATTCATAATACATCATGTTATTTGAATATATGATTTCACACCTAGGACACTCTTATATGTTTGTGTACATGTACGTTGTAAACATCTTTTGCGTTGTGAAAACCCCCATACTTTAGCACCATAAGACAAAATACTTTTTACATGTGTCCAAAACTGTACATTTAGTTTCAACATTCAGGTAATTGTTATTCATTTTTTTGTTAATTGCGAAAATGCTTTCCTTACTCAGTAGCATGCGTTTGAATCATTGTAATTGAGCAACACACCTAAATATTTAAATTCATTAGCAATTTCCCGTTCTTAGCCATCATACAAAATTTTCAGATTTTTCTACATTTTCACGATTTCTGATAACAACAGTTATTTTTCAGTGTCAAGTTTCAAACTTTAGTTTTTGATTATCTAAAAGGAGCAATTTCTGCAGTACAGTTTCTATAGATTCCGCTATAAGAACCATATCGTCAGAATACATAAGCAAATTCATGTTATATAAATAAGACTCAAAAATGGGCAGTTGTTTGTAATAAAGTATTTACATTCCACATTTATTTTGCTTATGAAGTGTTTGGAAAACGACGGCATTCAAATCACCTTAACACGAACATGGGGTCAAATGGTTAAAGAATTTATTGCATTTTGACGTCACGAACACTGAACGCCGTGCAAGTGCAACGCCATAAGTGAAAATCAAAATCCAAGCTCAAATTGAAGAGAAGCTGTTGCAATGGCTCTTCTATTAACTGTTACTTACCCGAAGGATAATACAGGGATTTTGAAATACGCGCTAACGCACGTTACTCAATTTGTTTGCACACACCTTTGCAATTAAGAGACTACATCTTTAAAATAAAATTAATGACTCAATTTTTGGATGATTTCATATTTGGCAAAGCTTTTTTCAGGGCCGCAAAATAAAACTGTAAATGTTTTATACAAACAAATGAATATGTGTGGTTTATATTATGTATGGTAAGAACAGTGTGTCAATATGAATTATAAATGGATAACTGCTACTAGTACTGTAAAACAAATATTAAAAAATCAATTTATTCAAAAGTGGTCTAGTGATGTGAATAATTCTTCAAAAAGACAAATTTACAGAATCTTTAAACAAAACTTTGGATTTGAAAATTATATTGATAAGTTATCTCCTAAATTTAGAAAAATATAAGATTTCGTACCGCAAATCATCATCTACCAGTAGAGACTGGAAGATGGTATGTGTGATAGAATCTGTACACTTTGTTATAATACTCAAACTGCTGATGAATTTCATACATCTTAGAATGTAAAACTTAAGTTAAATTAAGAAAAAATTACCTGGGCAATTATTATTCCCACAGACCGAATGTTATCAAATTCAATGAATTAATGTCAACTCAAAACGAAAAAAAATGCTGAAAAGACTATGTATGTTTATCTTAAAAATGTATGATGCTGCCTGTCCTCCTTGATATATTTTCCCCTGTATTATTTAATTTTTTTTTAATCTTCTATCATGCTTTTGTTTTGTAAATGTACCTCTGACCAGTTTGTATATAATGTATATATGTTATTAATATACTCCATACACCAATATTTTGGTTTGGGTGAATAAACTGAACTTCAACTTGATCGCGGGTTCGAATCCCACTTTGGGACGTGGAGGTGGGTCTTTCGGATGAAACCGTATAAACTGAGATTCCATGTCGCAGTAGGGGTTGGCAAAAACAAAACAGATCCGTCACTACTCAATGCCCCTGAGTGCCGAGTACAGGTCTTAATTTGCAACTTTCCACCGGCAAGTGGTGGCGACTCAATATGAGTGATAAATTCTCGAAAGGACGTTAAACAAACAAAAACGAATTTTATTTTAATCTTGCTCTTCAACGGCGCCAAAAAGAGTAAAAGTGTAAGAAAATAATTCACGAAATACTTTGAATAATCCATATTATAAATAGGGGAGGAGGTGAAATGAATCGTTGTTTATAATTCTTTTATGCACTTAATTTTCAAGCCAGTGACTAATTATATAATTAGAACTTAAATGTAAAATTTGGTGACCTTTCCTCGGACCTATCGACGTCTTATATCTGACAGTAATATCTTTTATTATCATTATTATCAATTATAAATTTATGTCATTATCAGGACTATTTCAAATCCGCTTCATTAATACCCGTCTACTGTTTTGATAGTTATCTCCTGTGGTCACCCTGGTACTCCTGTTAATGGTTTTCTTCATGGGAGTGACTTTTCGAAAGGAAAATCTGTAACCTACAGCTGTGAGACTGGCTATAAACTTGTCGGCAATCAACAGAGGACGTGTCAAAGTGATAAAATTTGGTCTGGAAGACTTCCAACATGCATTTGTGAGTCTACGATTTTTTATTTAAATAAACATGTATAATTGAATGAAATAAATTTCCAATCGCCTAAAATTATTTCGCTATTTATTTTGTCTGTCTTGAAGCTTTCAAATTATTATTTGTTTCAATATTTTACATTTATTTTAATTCCTTTCGCAAGGTTGGATTTTTTTGTAGTTGCTTAAAAAAGCAGAACATAATTTACTTTGAAATTAAATAAAACAATCAGAAGACGTTTGCCTCACGAAATGTATATGATATGTTTCATAAAAAACCCTATTCTATTGTACGATTAAAAGTTACATCAATTTTTTCTTTCAAAAATCACTAAATTTGCACTATCTATCAACCTTCATCTTTTCAGTTGTAAAAACGTGCAATAGCAATCCCTGTCAAAATGGCGGAAATTGTATAGATGGCTATAATCAGTACACCTGTAGCTGTGCACAAGGTTACACAGGTGTTCACTGCGAAAAAGGTTTGTTTCTTTTACTATTGATTACATTTTATGAAACAAAGATTGAAGAAAAGCTTTTGCTAGAACTTTTCCTTTGTGTGTTACTAAACTGCTTATGATATCCCATTAGGGTTTGTGTGTTGAATTTGTAACAATGTATATTAGAGCAATGAAAATAATCTGTTCTGGTCACTAACACCAGTTATATATATTTCATTCTTATATTAGATATCCAGTCACCGGTCAACAAGTACTGTCCTTCCGATATTCGACAAACTTCTGCATCACGATTCGTCAACGTCACGTGGCGTCCACCTGACTTCAAAGACCCATTCGGTCACAATATTGAAGTTACCACTAACTACCCGAATCACGGATCTATCTTTCGCTGGGGATACTATACTGCTCGATATACAGCTCTGAAACCTTTCAACGGTCTCAGGGCCAACTGCACCTTCAACATTTTTGTTGGGCGTAAGTTTATGAAAAATTCCAAAGAATGTATACGGTTTGAAATGGTTTTTATACATATAATAAATGACGGTCATAAGAAAAAATTACTATGGTGCACAATTTTACAAATTGTATTATTAATAATCAGGGGGTCGTAACATAAAGGGTACTTAAGTCTGAGACCATGCTTAAGTAGGAGTTAAGTACAGTCTTAAACTTAAGACCGTAACTAGAAGCGTGCTAAGATTTGACAATCTTAGGAAAACTTAGGCTGCCGGTAGAGGTGACTTAAGTATGTCTTAAATTTCTTAAACATATTTAGAACTATTTAAGATTGACTTACTATGTTAAAACATTCCTTTATTAATATTATGCACTAAAAGATAATTTTCTCTATTTAATATACTGGTATAAGAATTTTGGTTTTTCGTACCCCCCCCGGGGGGGGGGGGGGTTATATATCACTTATTCCAATATCACTCTCTAAATGACATACATGTAAATGCAAAATATTATTTTGGGGATACGTTTGAAATATTAGTGGGACCTAGGTTATAAACACTAATTATTATAAGTAAATTGTGAACAGTAATCATGGATTTGTTTGTTCACTGTGAAAAAAATGAGATGAAATGATTTTAAAAACTGTAGGTGAAGTAAAGGATGATGACTAGAAAACTAATAAAGATTGTCTGTAAATTAGATTGAATGTAGAACGCAACAAGGGAGGATTCAGACAGGGTTCACTACCGTTAACGCTCTCTCTCTCGAGAGAGAGAGAAAGAGAGTTCTTGATAAGTTGAAGATATACGAAAAATTGTTTCCTTAAAACAATTATTTTCCAACCTTCATTAAATTGTAAATAAGTATATCATAAAAAGTCTGCAGTCTCTGCTTGCTGATATGGGAGGAAAAAAAATCAAAATGCCCCTATTGTTTTTTTTTTTTTTTTTTTTTTTTTTTTTGTTTTTTGTTTTTTTTAACATTATTAAGAATTTCAATTTCAAGTACATAGACGTTCGGTTATCGTGCCATGTCTGCGAGAATGACAATTTGAAAGCAAGTGAACATTTGTCAAACGGAAGAATAACAACAAACGGTAAACTAAAAACATCGCAGTCTCGAGTGATAAACAATATTCACGCATTTACAATGAACCACTAGTGCCACTTTGTGACCGTGCAATATTTGTTTTAAAATATTCAAAATTATTTAAACAGAATTAACTGTAATTAAATACGAAATCTAATCTAACCTAGCTAAAACCGATAGGTAAGGACGTCAACTTTAATATGCATGTGATTAAAAACGTAACTAAATCATTTTTGCAAATACATATATAAACTAGAGCAGAGCTCGTTGCAAAGCAACGAGTAGGTCTTCCGTTGGAGCTGCGAACAGGAAGAAGTGACCTTGAGTCAAGGTCATGCCACATTCTAAGGTTATAAGCAATCTTGTAAGGGGTATCAGCTTGCAATGTCTCACCAGTAGAAAGACAGTTAAGGAATGTTGTTTCTCCGTTGATGACCTTGAACTCGTTCAAATGACCTTGCATCAAACCATGACACACTCTGGTTATAAGCAAACCCCATCTATGTGTTACCGACTCGACAAGTTAACACATGTTCTTTCAGACCATTCATCCAGTCAAAACATTCTTTCCTTAGTGACCCTAAATTTAATCAACATGGCCGTAGGAACCGAGGGAGGGGGCGTGCCCCCCAATAATTTGCCGATATATAGATTACTATAGTAGACATAGATACTATAGCTTGTGCCACCTCAATAAAAACGTCTGATAACCTTCTCTTTTTTTGCTTGTCAAGGAAGTTTTGGTAGTTGGTGACCTTTTTTTTTTGCTTGTCAGGAAATTTATGGTAGTAGTGCCCCCTCAACTGTCAACTGAAAATGTATGGCTGTGCCCCCCCCCCCAAAAAAAAAAACCCTGAATTTGCTTCCTATGGGCCTGATCAAGGCAATGATACACTCTGTATGATATCAGCGATACCCTTTTTTGTGTTTCGGAATTGACAAGTTCACAGTTTGCATTTATTGCATGATAGTGAGGGAGACATGAAGATTTCTTCGCCCATAAAAAATCATATTCCCCGAGGGCAACATGAAGATTTCTTCGCCCATGAAAAATCATACTCCCCGAAGGCAACGCCCGAGAGAAATATGATTTTTCATTTGCGAAGAAATCTTTATGTCTCCCTCACTATTATGCAGTAAATTGTTTATAATACCGAATTAACCAAAATGCAGGAATTACAAAGGATATCCAATGAATAAATCAAACATGCATTTGATGAGAACGATATGAAATAGATGTAAGTTACAGGTACACCAATAGCCTCGTTACATTAAAAAAAATTCCTACGTGACAAGTTTGTGTGATCACACCAGTAACATTCAAACACCATTACATTTTTACACATTTAAATCGACACAATCAATCAACGATAATATGTTGACGGTGCGACCGTTGGGCGAGTGCATTGTTCACTTAATTTTAAGATCCGCCTCTTCAAACAGCACGACATTTGGAACGTCTAGACTGTGACGTCTCATGACGTATGTTAGCTGTATTTCCATAAACGAATTTTGAAAAGTGCAAACATTTTAACAAAGAACGTTTAATCTACTATCTGTATGCAATTCCATTAATTAAGGTGATTTTTTGGGGTGAATTTTTAGTTGTTGTTACCGCGCGAACGAAGTTAGCAGCGTCGCTATAAACAATCTAACTCCTCACTCGTTTAATTGTGACGTCACAATCGTGAAACACGACGTTTTGTTGCAGGGCAAACATGATGGACACGTGACTTTCTCGGCCAATCAAATTCTATTTTACTAGTGATTTTTCACTTGTAAGCTAGTTTTCACAGAGGTATAATAAACGTTTTTTTTTAGACCATACATCGAAATAAATTATCATAATTTCTATAGTCGTAATTTATTAGGTTCAACTCACTGCTTTAAAGGATCATTGTAAATGTTTTATGCCCGATTTGGATACTGAACAACGTGTGATTTTTGAAACACTGATGCCCCCATATGCCATCTTATGGCAAAAGTTAAAAGTTTCTCAAATGCAAGTCAAACTCCATGGTCAAGATCAAAAGTTAAAAAAAAAATGTTATTACCCAAATAAAGGTCTTGAACAAAGAATATACTGTGAAATATATACTAGTATGAAAGCCACAGCAGCAACAGTTTAAAAGTTATGGCCAAGGTTAATTTCTTTAAAAGGTCAAACTCCAAGGTCAAGGGATCATAATTGTTTGTACTTGAGGGAAGGTCTTAATTGTTACAAGGAATACACATGTGGTATTAAAAAGCCTTAGCACCAACTGTTCAAAAGTTAAAACCAAGGTTAAAGTTTTTCAAAAGTAGGACATACTCAAAGGTCAAGGTAAAATGGTCAAAATTAAAGGTATACAATGACAGGCCTTGTCACAAGAAAATTACCTATGTAATATAAAAGCCCTAGTACTAGTCATTCAAAAATTATTGTCAAGGCTAAAGTTGTTTAAAAGTTGGTCAAACTCCAAGGTCAAGGTCAAACGGTCAAACATATTTATACCCAAGGAGGAGACTTATCACAAGGGATACAGATGTGAGGTATAAAAGCCATAGCACCAACTGTTCAAAAGTTTTGGCCAAGGTTATAATTTGGTAAAATTTTGCGAAAGAGGATCAAACTCCAAGTTCAAGGTCAAGAGGTCAAATATGTTGGTACCTGAAGGAAGTCCTTGTTACTAGGAATACACATAAGAAGTGTGAAAGCAGTAGTTCCAACCAATCAAATTTTATGGGCATAGTTAAAGTTTTTGCGGACAAAGAGGCTAACACAGTCTAACAGACAAATAGACAGGTGGACAGGACAAAAACTGTATGCCCCCCGGATCTTCGATTACAGTAGCATAATAAAATGTCGGCGTCTTTGGGTTTTCGCATTGGCCTTAAATCTGAAAATCCAAAGGATTACAAGGTGCATTACGATACGCTTTCACATCATGTTCTATAACCCAGAGCATATTGTCTGCAAAGATAAATATTTAATTCAGTATTTAATTAGCTATGCATAATTATCTATGTTGTTTTAAAAAGGAAATATAAAAAAAAATATTTGTTTTATATTTTTCGATGTAGAGATATACAGAAAATGTTTTCCAATTTTAAGTCCTATCGCAATACACATTTAAAAAAAAAAGGGTGTGTTGGAGGGGGGGGGGGGTCATTACATTTTTGCTGGGATTCGCCTATGTATGACCGTAGAGAAACAAAGAGTGGGGAGAGTGCAAGCAGCAATTAAATCAAAATTTACATATTAAAACTACAACAAAAGACTATTTTCAGAAGGTCTGCCCCCCCCCCCCCCCGTACAATCCGTACAACGGACCTGTGAGAAAAATACTGATCCTACATTCAGAGTCCCAGGGCACCAGGAAAGAGTGGCAAAAAGAGAATATCGGTTTATTTCAGTCTATAAGTCGAATCAAAATATCTTTTCCTCAAGAGTCTTCTTTCTTTGAGTTCTTCCCAGTGATCGTGTGATTTATTTCATTTAATTTACGTTCTGTACTGGACTTGGAAAATGAGGACATCTTTAGGTTCCTGAGCTGGCCTTGAAGCCCGCAGAACAGATTTTCTGCTTTATGATAAATTCAAGTGATATGTAATACGGTATTAATTTTGTGTTGATTTTATTAATGTTAATTTCATCAAGAAATATGAAAAATTAATGTTTTAACTATACATAGTGAGGCATTTTTTGTGTGGAACGATTATTTTGGGGTTTTCACGATTTTTTCATATGGTACACATGATGAGTAAGTGCAATAAATATAATTTGTGGAAAAAATGTCCAACAAGCCCCGGGGTTGAATATCGGGGGGGGGGGGGGGGGGGTCTGTCCACAAGTACCTGTTGTCAAGCCCGTAGAAAACAATTTCAGTTTTTTGGGAAGGGGGGGGGGGCAAATAGAAATTTCCACAGGTATTTGTACTCGATTTTTTCCTATGGTACACATGATGAATAAGTGTAATAAATATAATTTGTGGGAAAAAATGTCCAACAAACATTGGGGGAGGGGGGGGGGATCCTGTCCACAAGTACCTGTGGAAATTTCTTGATACATAAACAGAATTTAAAAGCATGTATTAGACATCTTTTGAAGGGGAGAGGGCACGGCCGTAATTAAAAGTTATATAGAGACTAGGAAGGAATGAACTGTCATTAAATTTTGGTTAAGAACTATTACCTAAACTCTTCACTTTCACATTTTCAATTACAGATTCTTGTTTTTAAAAAGCTATACATGTACATTTATATGTATCTATTAGATGCATAAATTATGTTATTAATCATTTTATCTTAAAGGAAAAGTAAAAATCAGTAGAAAAAAAAAGTAGAAATTCAATGGACCACAGTCATTTAGGGTATTCTGAATCACCCCGCTAATCGCGACTCTCGGTAATTTACCTTACCGCTGTACCTCGCACGACACATGCACAGGTGTGACAACCAAACAGTCATTATTAGTAAGGTCTATACTTATTGCATACAACAAATAAAGAGGTAAACATAATGCGTTAACTAAAAGAATTAATTATTTTAATTCATTAACTTCCTATCCTTTTCGAAGAAAATGCCCGTGTAGAAACGTATATCTCATCGATGTCGTGGTGTTGTTGGTGGATGAAACATGACATATAAGGTATCGATAGAACGGCAATTTTATAAGCTTTTGTGGGTATTATTTGTTTTTTATAACACCTCAAAAATATACTAGTTATGGCCGCATTTGTAGCCCCCTACAGTTTCGAACCACGTGTGTACATGCCCCTAGCCAAATAAATTGCACACGCTACATGTATACTTGTTATATGTCAGATTATTATTTTTTTTATAACATTGTTTTTCTTAAATGCAAGGGGTATGAAAGTAATGATTTGACAAAGCAAGAGCTATAATAAGACTATCCCGGGTCCCGGTATACACTTGATCAGTGTTGATCAATGTTCATATGTACGAGTACACGTATGCAAATAATTCGATAGCTTTTGAAGATTTCAACATACATTTTTGTAACACGCATATTTGTAATAACCACTTTATATACAAAACAAAATTTCATTCTCTTATATGGTAATATGGACGTCGTAATAGATGACATGCCTGTTTCAAAAACGTTTCCTAAGTTATCTTAAGATATGCCTAAGTTATAACTTTAGAAGTTCCTAAGATTTATCACAGCTGTATCGCGAAACAATCTTATCTAAAAAAAATTTATAAGTCATTTCTTAAGTTGTGCCTTTAAGGACTAATAAAACAACATTCCCGCTCTATATACAACTCTCAGTATGGTATATATTTTTAGATTCAAAAAGGAAGGGTGCAAGGATTGGGGATTGTCCCCACTTTTAAAGGATTTGGACACAAGTATGCTTAACTTTGCGAAGTGTGTTGCTAGATCTAAGCATTCACAGACACACCCTTTCAAGCCATCTTCCCTTCCGAGCACACGATATTTGTATTTTAATTTTTAAACATTGTTCTAAGTGTTATACATTTACTTTATTTTGTTCTTATAAGGTATCTACATGTAAATAAAATTTTAAAATGAATGCTTCGTAGCGAACACATGCGAGTTTATATTTTTCAAACAATCTTTGCCAATTACTACACTGTATGTACACGTTAGTTGTTTGTGCGGTGTAGAGCAACTATCAGAGTACACAATGTATTTCAACATCGAGGTGCCCGCGGCTCTCTGTGGCCACGTGTATGTAAACGAGGACTGGACTACAACACTTAAAGACACAAAGCGGCAGAGATGGATGAAACTGTTTGCTATATTACAAAGACTTGAATTATAGTACATGTATATTTGAAGGAATTTTTATTTATGTTAATGTTTATTTAATTCTATAAATAATAAATGGACATTCACAAGAGTGATGGTAAAAATAATATGTGCGTAGCATGCGTAGTAATTACAATTATTTACCGAAGCCCCCATTCAATTACAATTGCAGATGAATTAAACTACAACAACACGGGATAGAGCAATACTTTTTTTAAATGTATTGTTGCGTGAACAGACAAAAACAGCGATTAAAATTCAAAATGATTTTTATGCACCAGTGTTTGGAATTAAGATTATAAAAGATCGGTAAAGTAATCTTACTGATTCGATATAATTAAAAACATAACTTTCCATTAATTAATAGCTCTTTGTACAAAATTGACATTATACGCGATCACAAATACTAGCTTTGTTTATGGCCACAGGTGGCTAGTACACTGGTGACCTCGATCAACAGCGTGGGATTCGCGCGTTGGGTTACATAACTAAACATCGAGCTGAACATGGAGACCGTAATATGCATACAGCTAATGATCGTGAATTATTCAATGCATACAGTTTAAAATCACTTACAAAGTTTGTTGTAATAATAAACGTAGAAAGATAGATTTAATATTCTCCGCTTTTGAACACTATTAACCTAATTTAAAAAAGAAGAAAAGAAAGACTAGTTGTAATAAATAATTTAATAGTGAACCATAAACCACGTTTTAAACCTTATTAAAAAGGAAATTAACATTAAATACCGCAGGGTATATTATTGATAGCAAGTCTGTTTAAGTTATACACATGAAGAGGTCTGATTTCCTCGCCGAATGAAAAACGTTACCTGTTTACCTGGCCTGCTTTCTAATACGTATTACGCAATACCCACGGTATACTCGAACAAAACATTTTCATTAGATCAAAAAGGTGTAAAAGAACAATTTTGTTCCCAAGATCCAGATCGAAATATTTACCGTTTTTGAGTTATAAAGCAAAAACTTTTAAGGGCCCAAGATCCCTAATCATAGGGGCCAGCCCCTTTTAAATAGTATAATATGAAAGCCCTTGTAATTATGCACAACTTTTGTTCTACATGTCTTAACAAAATATTTCTAGTTTTCAAGATATAAAGGAAAATATGTCAAATTTTTTGCTGTTTTCCGCGTTCTAACTTTTGACCCCTCTCTAGCGCCATTTTTAATGCAAAAATCAAAAAACAAAAACCGATGTGCACAACTTCAATGCTTCCTCTTTTCAATTTCAAAGGGTTTTGTGCTCCAATTATAACCATTTCTGAGCCTTTGTCTGGAAATCGGAGGCATGCAAAATTCAATCAAAGGGGAATAACTCGTGAACAGAAGGTAATTTCCGAATTGTATTACGGTATTCTGACAGTGTTTTGTAAAATCTAAAAGCTCTGAAAATTTGAACAAAATCTGTTTAAAAATGAGGAAGATATGAAGCGTCAAAGTTGGCGTCTAGGAAAAAAAAAAGAATAATAAGAATAATCTTAATCATCACAATCAGTAGAAGGTCTTCCGTTGGAAACGGAAGACCTTAATAAATTGAAAAACTAGGATGATTGATAAAACATATTTTGAACATAAGTTTGACTTACTTAGACCTAGCTAAGTCCGTTTTATGTTACGGTTTAAGACATACTTAAGTAGTACTTAGGCAGGTCTTAAGATTGCACCTAAAACATACTTGTGACCCTACTTAAGTCAAAAACTTAGCAAGCTTTATGTTACGACCCCTTGGCAGGTATTTAATGCAGCCCGGTGACTTAAAAATATATTAAGATACAACACAAAACAGGGTCCATTCATTTTAAGACAGCATTGCAAATTCATTGAAACTTGATTTGCCAAAAAAAGACAAGTGCTACACCGGTGTAATAAATGAAGATACTTAAAACAATAATAATAAAAAAGAATATTTAAATATTATTTGTCCATTGATCACAGCTCTATCCTGTCCGAAGCTTGACGTTCCCTTGAACGGTGCTCTGGTATGTAATGGATGGATAATAGAATTCGCTCGTATGTGTGTCGTGTTCTGTCAAAAGGGAACCCGACTTAGTCATGGTCATGACATCCGCTCAAAGTATTTCTGTGGTGGAAGTGGAAATTGGCTCCCTATTAGCAATCCTAGCAATCCTCCGTCCTGTCAAAGTATGTACCTTTACTTAAGAAGAACCAGTTCTTTTGTCAAGTTTTTCATATGTGAAATGGTCAACTAAAATTCCAGATTAATTCGAGATTATAAAATAGATACCTAAAAAGTAGTTTCCCAGAATAACTTGCAGATGTTAAACTTATGCTATGGGCAAGTATTTGTGTCATACATCTACAAAATTATGTTAAAGACATGTATGAAGACATAAAACAATTTTTCACCCCATTTTTCATACGGATACTCTGTTTTAGTAAGCTTTCTTTTCCATGGCACCTGAACCAACCTCTGATGTTTTAGACCTCCATGTTTGCAATGCTCACAATTTATTTTGTTTACTGTTCGATTTTTTTTTTATCCTTTTTTATTCTTCCATATCTTTTCATAAAATCTATCTAAAAATTAGAGACATAGAAAATGAAAATAGATCAATTGTCTTAATAAATGTCTTTTATTATTTAGATCCAGGACCGTTGTTAAAATATTTTACTATCTTTGATTGAAACATTCCATGTAATATCTTTTCTCACCATAGTTGCTGTGAAAGAAATCCATTCAGATATTAAAGATGTATAATAATTTTAGAAAAAAAGGATATTTATGTTTCAATTAAGATAAATTACAGGTAAGTTGATGTTTCCTAGATTTCAACAGCTCGTTATAAAGTCAGCACTTCGTAAGATTTTATGGTCGTTATAATGACCTTTTTAAAAAATAAAAGCTGTCAGTTAGTCGTATTTTAGCTGACGTGTTTCATACCAATTGTTTGGCCTATGTTATTTTACTGACTACGTAATATTCTGTTTACCTGATCAATACATTGGGCTCACGGTGAGTGTGACGGTTCAACAGGGAATGCTTACTCTTTCTAGGTACCTAACCTCACCTCTGGAATTTCTGGGAGTCTGTGTTATATGCCCTATTCCAAGATTTGTATTGTTTGTTGATTTTTTTGAGATCGATCATTATTAGTTTTCTTCACCTGTTTCATTTTAATTACCTTAAGGTGGTATGGGATACCAAACGAAACTTCTCCTACATATTTATGTACCCAAATTAGAAGGATTTGAAATACCCCCACCTTTCAGTATATTAAAGTGTAATTTTAATAATTTTTTTATTATTTTAATGAGAAATACAAAAACGATTTTTTTTCTTGCATAATTCTTTTTTCATAAGCTTAATATTATAGGCAGGCGTTTGCTAATATAAAGTGTTTGTAAAAACAAAAATGACAAGAAATATGTCTTAGTATTTTTTTAATTTTCAACAAAAAATAAGCGTAAAAAACTGGGAAAACTTTATTTCTTGAAAACAGACGGATAACATTTCATGAAAGTCTACAATAAGAATGTATCTTAATATGTTAGCAAAGTGAAATAAACAAATTGAAAATATATATATAAATGGAAAATATAAAATGCATTTAAAATTTTTTGAATTAAAAGATCCGAGCGGAAGAGTTATCCTTCTTTATTTTCCAAGGGTTGAAAAAACTTGGGTGCTATTTAAGAAACCATTAAAAAAATCGCACTTTGTAGTTTTCAACTTTGAGCGGTTTTGAAAACAATGCATGGACAATCGCTTTCCTGGACGTCGTGTCTTGTTCAGAGCAATTGCATTCATCTGAACGTTTTGGGACTATATACAACAGCTAGCTGATTTGTGACCAAACAGTTACTTCTTGAATTAAATAACAAAAAAGTCCAGCTCTGGTTAACGTGATAATTGATTGGTGATAATTCAGCACAATGTGAAGTAATCGCACTTATCCATGCCTCACCGCACACAAGGTGCTGTACAGTTACTCAAACAATTGAAATACAGCTTTTGCTTAAAAGTGTTCAAAAGCAGCAATGTTGAAACTACCTTTTACAGGGGTTTGCTTTTTTAAATGTCCGTTGTACAATTATAAGTAAATTTATATACTTGCGATTTTTTTGTCTTTTTTTACTTAAAATGCCGACTTGTGAGAACTTGCATTGAAATAGGCTTCAGAGTGTTCTTTTCAACGGTGTATCTACAAATTTTGACCCGATAATAAGCACTCATGCAAATCAAAACAATACTTCAAACGGAAATACGTCATAACGTAGAGGTATCCCATACTACCTTAACAACGTTACATTTTATATTTATGCACGTAACAACGTAACATTTTACATTTATGCACGTTTTAATAATTTTACTCACTTAATATACTTTAAATTTTAGGATCAAAGATCGAACGATCTGGAGATGATGTTTTGTATCACTTTAAGACCTGTGACAGAAAACACGAGGATCAAATGAAGAATGAGTATATCAAGATTCTCAAAAAGTCTTTGTTTAAGAGTCTTTGCGATAAATTTAAGGACCTCTGCAAACCAGAAAATGTTGACGTTCAATGCGGATAAAAAGGTTTTGCGAAGCGTACATTTTCACCAAAAAGAAAACATACTGGAATTTTTGACTTAGTTGTAAGATCATTGCAATATCATTGCCTTTTTTCCACTAAGTTCTAATTTCTAAAGATATGAAACTTGACGATTTGTTTCCACTTGACCTTTTAGTTATCCATTTAAAACTTCGGTGACAAGAATCTGCAAGTATCCTAGATTTCAGTTTCAGAGGTAATAGTCCCGATGAAATTGTGACACGGTTTCCATAACATGTCTTTAGACCGTTCAAACAATTTTTTCTGCACTATTTAGTCTCTTTAATTTGCAAGAACTATTAGGATCTTTTCCATAGATACTTCTACTTCCACCCATTGTCCTATTGTCTATATATATATATATATATATATATATATATATATATATATATATATATATATATATATATATATATGATATATTTGTGGTATCTCTCTATTATATAAACATGCAGAGAGCAAATATCTTCATACCTGTATGAAGTTTTTCGAAGGTCATAGGTCATTACGTGACCTAATCACACAGCGCAGTAATATCTACATAAAAAGACTTACTCCACTAAGCGATATAGCATGTTTTTCATGCATAAAAATGTACAAAATACGCAAGTAAAATAATAATCATTTTATTTACAATGTAAACGAGTATTTAATACAGTCTTTGATCGGTTTTACATAGAGAATAGAAAACTACATGTTATAAGTTCCATGTCTGAGCTGCATAGTCTCAACGTTTTCCCTTATTTTTCTCGCAGACCTCTGAATGCTATAATTTTTTTTTCATTAAACTTTACTCACAATAAATTTGAAAATCTGTTGAAAAATATCAATGTAATGCAATCACGCCACAAACAGCTTACAAACACTGCACTTCGGAAGTTCGGTAGGCACACCTCCATCATCGAGATCGTTGTAACGTTGTCTTAACAATGTAAGCTGTCGCCAGTGTCTCCATGTCAACATCATAAATTAATAAATATGCCTTACTGAAATCGTAGATTTTATGTTTTTGATCAAATTTGTACTTGATTTCAAGTTATCTGGTCCGGACAAGTGTCTCCATCCATCCCTTTCCGACCGAAATTCCTCCAACTTTTTATTATGAAACATCGGACGTGTTTCTTGTGTTTTTTAACATCGACTATGGGTTCTCATGAATACAAAAATTCCCAGACACTAATATGCTCACTATAATTGATCACAAGTAGCCTTTCACAGAATATTCCCTTCAAAACAGAATCCTTTGCCAGATGAATTTGAAGCGTAACCGCTTTTCAAGCCGATTTACACCTAGCGTAATTTGTCAAAATCTACGACGTACAGTTAGTGCAATATTTATATTCGATTACATTCTATTGTTCGTTTCAAATGTATATATAAGTAATAAATAACAAGTTTAAAAACTTCAATGGGAATTGAAGTGGGTCGGTACGTGATCAAATCTTCTGAGAAGGCCTTCGGCCTTCACAGGATTTGATCACGTGACCGACCCACTTCAATTCCCATTGAAGTTTTTAAACTTGTTATTTATTTCTAAAATATATATATATATATATATATATATATATATATATATATATATATATATATATATATATATATATATATATATATATATATATATATATATTCTAGAAGTAATCGCTCTAACCACTGCGCCACGCAGATGACCGAGGAAGGGGAAATGGTGCAGATAGAAAACTTGAGGTGTCTCAATTATTGAATTAAACCTTCAAAATAGCCTCATAGGACTTTCCTATAGCATCATATATTAGTACTCCCATTTTTGTGTCATCTCACATGAAGAATTAAGGATAAATTAAAGAATACAATATAAGTTTATCTATTTTGTAAGAACAAGAAACGTAACAACTTTCATGCTTCATATCCTTTTTAACTGAATAATAATTTAATAATTCAGCTGCACGCTTCAATAGATTCGGTCTTAATATTGCATAAAATAAACTCATGTATACAATTTAGTTTGTAATATTTATGTGATCACCTTGCAAACCTTTCATTTGATGATGCCAAACTGGATTCCTTGTTTCGTTTATTAACAACGCAAGAGTCTGCCAAGGCTACACACTTACAGTACAGTCCCTTACATTACTGTACATACAGGCCTCAAACGTTTTTGCTCCACATTGTCATTGAATGTAGCAAAGAAAAACAATTTTAAAATACATCATGACATTTAATGAACTTTATTTTATGTGTATCATTGTTTAATCTTTCAGACTCCATAGAGTTATGAATAAATACATGAATATACTATCTTTTATAGTTTTTATAGTTTTTTTGTAGTTATATTTTGAAATGAAGAAATAATAATTCAGGACTTGTATTTACATGCATTCTTTTCAGCAACAATAATATTTAGTCAGCCACAATAAATGATATATATATGTAAAAAAAATTGTCGAAATCTATGTAAAATATAATTATCGTCTTTGCTCCAATACGACTGAATAAAGACCAATTGTTTTCACAAGGAATCTACATATACAACGTCATTTTCATATCAGTACGTCATGGACACGAAGCAAAATAATATATAAGAGATGCTATTTTACCTCATGTTTATCAATAATTGATGAGGCTGAACTGGAACCATGAAACTCAAAATATGTTTCATCCCTAGATGCTTCACCATTTAAATAGTCCTAATAGTTTCTGATAATAAACTGAAATTTTAAATGAATATTGCACATCATCGTGCAAATATATTACTTCTTTCGAATCGATATTTAATAAAGATATGATCACCTAAAATATTGAAATTTAAGAAACGTATTACTTTCTGTATTTTCTTTAATTTCATCCTCTACTAGTAAAATACAAATAAGTGCAAACATTTAAGTCACAATGACTTTAACTGGGTAATAATGTGTAGAGTGAATATATTTTTACTATAATATACATATGATATAAAGCAAGTTGTTTTTATTTTTAAAAAAATTAAAAACAGTAACATTTGCATTACAAATAATTATTCAAAGTTCGGCGGTGAAAGAATGCATTTCAGTTTTCATTTTTTTTTAAAAAAAATTTGAAATGATATTTTGCACATCTTTGAAAGAAAATAATGTACACTTAAAGATAAACAAATTATAAATAAACACTGATTTAATAAGGTGAGGAGAAAGTTGACTTTACATGATATCATATTGATTCAATTCACTTCTTGGGGCGCCATTATCGTCCAGTTTACAGAGCGCCACGCCCTCTATCTTCTCATCACCAAAGTTAAAGGCATCTGGCAGATTGTCAGTCTTCTTAAAGTGGTCAGTAACTTTATCAAATCTGATTAAAAGACAAAGTTAATCATACATTAGTACTGTTTCTGGTGTTTTGAACTAAACAATACCCAAACAGATAAAACAAATGTGCAATTAGCTATTTACTCACTTCAACTCCACTGTCTTGAACTTGAAGAAAAGAAAAATCACTAAAACAACAATCGGTATAAGGATTCCGAGGGTCACACCCACTACAATTCCGGTTTTGGATTCTGTACAAAGTAAACATAAGTAAAGTTGATGAAACAAGAGACCCATAGGCCATGATTCTCACCCACGTCATTATGTCCGTGCTGTTCTTCAATAGCAATTTTTTTCAACCTCTGTTCCTTTGTGAAACTGTGATCTCCTATTATGGCCCCATCCTACCCTCTGATGTCATCATTTGAATAGCTTTGATCTACACTTCCATCTACACTTCCAGTGGATGCTTTATTGTATACAGGAGCTTCCACATAAAAATACAATCATTGCTCTACTTTTCTTGAGAAGAACCCCACCCACCCCTCCCAAGAGATTCCCAATTAAAACTTTGTGACCAAACGCAACCACCGATGTCATGATCTGAATAAACTTGAATCGAAACTATCTGAGGTTGCTTCCAAATAAATATGGCTAATGAAGGTTTTTCTGTTAAGCCCCCGACTTGGAATGGGTTTAATAAAAATTCTAATCACAATGCATCGTGATTTTCCCCTGAAAAATCAAGATTATAATAAAAAATGTTGACATATTCTTTTATAACGAATTAAACGTGACTTTTACAAATATGATGGTGTAAAAATATAATCTTGCTTTTTTTCCTATTTTATTTGTATAATTTGAACAGAATAGTGTGTGTTGACAAAAACAATTAAAAAAAATTAGAAAAGTAATTGACAGTAACTTTTTATGAAATAATTTTATAAACAGTGTTATTTCTTTTTGAAATTCATTAGATACCTACAACATTAAACGCAATGCAAAACATACGAGACTTGTCAAAGCACGGTAGAAGCGCTTTAATTATAATCAAAATGCATGAAATTTAAATTTATGTAAATAAAATTGTAGAGTGTAAATATGAGCATTGAATTAATTTTTTTGGATGTCGTCGCTTATACACTATTTTCAGTTTGTCGGCACAGCCCGACCGACGACCAACATCCAAAATAAGAAATGCTTAATCGGAATTCAAATCTACAGGATGAAGTATGTACAAAATGAATAAACAACCTTTTCTATTGTAATTGCAAAGCAAACATTTAAACGTGACCTGATCATAAGAGCAAATAGAAAATCAAATGAAATTCATTGAGCTTGAGCTATGCCTGACACCACAAGTCCGGTAGGTAGTCCACTAATGAGCGGACCGTTGCAACTTTTTAACTGACATATGGTGTGAATTCTAACGAAAAACGCAAAAAAGTTGTAACATGCAACAATGGACCATTTTTTTGTAAATAGTGTTTGTCTCCATTAAGTTTAAATCATGTCTTAGTGTTAAAGTATGGTTGTTTTACAACATTTTACTCTACCGGTAATTATAACTCAAAGCCACAAACGAATAAAAAATGAAAGCCATAGCTCCTACCAATCAAACGTTATGGGCAAGGTAGAACTTTTTGAGGACAACCAGACAGAAAGACGGACGGACACTGCAAAATTTACATGCCCCTGAATCTTCGACAAATGAGATTTCCAGAATTAAGCACAAAATTCCGTATCATAATCTACAAGTCGCGAAAAGTATTACATCAAAAAGTCATGATATACCGGTAAAACAAAATAATAGTACATACCTACCCCCTCCTACCCCCCCCCCCCATCCTCACGGGACATAACTTAATAAAACTTGAATCTACACTACCTGAGAATTCTATAATGTTAATAAGACTAAACATTGTTTTATTGTTCTTGAGAAAACTATTATTAAATATAGTTTGCCTATATTTTCCAATGAAAATCTTTTATCCTCATTGTTGTCCCATCCTATTCCCGGGTTTGCGTAGCGAAGCTTCCACATGCGTGTCATCTTTTCTTGCCCAGTTGTTCTTGAGAAGAAGGTTTTTGAAATATAACATTTTTAAAATAATTTTTATCTCTTTTTGATGGAGGGCATGGTACTTCATTTGAATTCCCATTACCCTATGATGCTTTGTGCAAAATTTTGTTCAAGTAGCCTAACAGTCTTGAAGAAGATAAAATTGCAAAAACTTCACGACAACACCCATAACAACTATAGATAAATTTTGATAAGAAAAACTGATTTGAGCCATCGGCTCAAATGATCGAACAATAAGAGACAATTAATTTATATTTTATATAAATGACTATTGAAATTAGTCTACTCTTCTGACACTTTGATATATTTTCACAAGTAAAGTGCATCATTAAGTAAGATTGTTTGTTTGTGTAACGTCTTTTTCGAAAAATTTTCACTCTTATTGAGACGATTTCTGGTTTAGAGATGAACTTTTAGACTCAGGGCCATTGAGCAGTGAGGAATCTTTTTTCGTGCCTGTACCTTCTGGGTTTATAGGGTCTCATTCGAAGGACCGATCTCCACGTCCCGTGGTGGGATTCGAACCTGCGACGTAAATAACAACTCCTTACTATTTGAATCTAGAGCAAACACTCTAACCACTGCGCCATGAAAGCGACCCATTAAGTATGTTCTGTGTATATGTGTGGAGGAAGGGGTGGGTGTAGGTTAAACAGACATTAACGAATTTTTTTCTAGAGGCTATATCTTCTTAGCAATAGGTTCTCATACAAAATGATGTTCCCGCTAAGATAGACTTACGTAATTTAAAAAGATTACAGAGCTCACCTCAACGAATGTTTTTTTTAAGTAAGGCAAAGTCTCAAACTAATAATCAAGTAATGTGCGTTCCTAGATGTAAAATTTATGCAATTATGGTCCAGGTTTGGATTGCAATTATTTGGGAGTGGACTTGTTCTAAAAACCTGTTCTCTCATCTAGAAAATGCAGGTCAGATCTAGCATATATAGAGGTCTGGTAGTGTGCATCTCATGATGCATCATCCATACATATATGGTCACTCAATCTTATAAGGAAAGCATCAGTCGGATCCAGCTTCTGAATTACGCCTCTTAGCGTACAATAATACAACTTTGTTCTTGGAAGTGCTTAAAATTAAACTGAAATGAACCTGTTTGCAAACCTGGAACTTGGTTACTCATCCAGAAAATGAGGCCTGGCTTAAAACCGAGACCATCGAAAATTTCTCAGAATTAATTAGTCTTCGATTTTAGGTGGCAATTTGGTCCGAGGCGGTTTATGCAGATGTCAATTACCAGAGTGGTTATTCGAGGTTTAATGAATTTTTAAAATGGACCATTTGTAGGGTTGAAGTTAGAATTTTGAGAGATAAATCCAGCACCGAAAACAACTTTTTGTGTTACAGTTTACAGTTTTATAGTTTACGTCTATATGTGTACCAAAGCTTACCCCTCTGTCAATATTTTCTAAGATAACGACAGTTTTCAGCTACCTTAGATGTATTATCCATACAAGTTTGGCCAATAAAGGATATTCAGTACCTGGAAATGAAACCTATTCCAAAGACTTTAACATGCTCCAGAGAAATCATTTACCTATTCATACTTTGGCTGGAAATGCAACGTCTAAAACCTGAATGGTGGAATGAAAACCACAAGAAGCATCATCCATGCATATCTGAGCAATATAGAATATAGAAGTACTACAACATAATCTGCTACAAAACATAAACCTGGAAAGCTGAACGTATAAGTCTCAATTTCTTTGAGGCGAGAAAAAAAATTGAAAGCAATTAGCAGAATTTATCTCTAGAATTAAAATGTTTCAGCACTATTTAATTGTACCTTTAAAATGAAAAATGATAAACAGTACTTACCGTCAACGCTCTTTACAACGTAAACTTGAGTTGCAACTGCAAGTTTAATTTCATAGCATTAAAAAGTACTTTCCTTCGAAGATGTAAGTGATAAAAATTTACAATAAATACATGTATAATTTATGTAGATTTAAATATACCGAATTGAGCGTAAAATGCAAGTGTGAACATATGGCAAGGGGCCTCTTGTGTAAGTTTTTCATAAATTCATATCAAATCTGAATTAGAAATTAAAGAGCTAGGTACGTTAGTTAATGTCAGCAGGCCCTGTAAAATACATAAAAAATAAAGTCAGCCTATCCTCACTATCCATGTATATTTATAAAGTTAAAGATCCCAAGTCTTTGTATATGTAAACATTTGGGCGGATCCAAGCTTCTTATGCTGCTATATATCATCCGAACCTAGGCCGTATCCGGAAAACGAGCATTTTTCTCCACTTTTCACTCGGTTTTTTGGAAAATTCGATGTGGCCACAAGCATCGGCCACAAAAATATTTTAACCAGAAATACATTAACATAAAAGGAGTTGATTTAAACAGGTTTCGTTCTGGCCGTGGGCTGTGGCCACATTGAATTTTTGAAAATTCTAATATTCAGTCGTCTGCTTTACCATGTTTTACTGTGACGTAACACCTGTGACGCACAGCTAGTTCATGTATCTGCAATATGTAGACCTGCATAGGATCGGCACTGCGTAAAAGAAGAGTATTTAGAGAAAAATTGTAGCATCTAAAGGTACGTAAAACTTTGTAGTGAAGCTGAATGATACGCATAAATAAATTCTACATTCTAATAGCCTTGTACATTTGTGTGATCCATTGTTTTCGCTTTCGCAGAAGGCGGCTGTCATGTCAGGTACATACAAAACATGGACAAAGGCCGCATATAAACATCAAACCTGAGAAAGTGTAGTGTGAAAGGAAATAATTGAAATGTACAAATTCAAAAAATATATATTTTATGTCTATTTCGAGGTAAAACTTAGCTCGTACACCAATCGTCTAAAAATAGAACTTTTCATTATTTACATTGACAACATACAGTTACTTGCCAAAAGTCTATCACGCTTTTGTTCATTTTTCGTTAGACTTATTTTATAAAACGACATGTAGTTTAAACAAATAAAATATATAATATAATGGATTTTTACATGATAAATATCATGTGGAAGAGAATATTTTCGATTTTTCTTTTCGCTAAAAAGATATTTTTCATACTTTAGGTTTAAAGCTGCTTTGTGAAATGAGCTGATGAATATAGTGTGAGTCACTTGATTGAATTATAGGCCTAGTGGACATTGCACTGCGTTTTTAAGGTATAGTTCAATTTCTAATAGTCATTTTTTTATCATGAAGTTGGATATTTTATTCAAAAGTGGTCAATGTTTTCTTTCTTTATATTTTTTTTTCAAAGTAAAGGAGAAGTTACAAGTATATAAACATGATATAGGCCATGTTACATGATTTAATCATTTAATATATATTTTACGTTTAATATTTTTAATGAAATATTTTTTTCTACCTGCCTGGAAAATGCAGGTGGAAAAATATGAATTTTAATTACAGGTAAACTGACTGTTTTTTTTGTTTTTTTTTAGTGTCAAAGGTATTACATATATGATAATAATATATAGAATATCAAGTACATGTATAAGATAATTATATAAGTCAATTAATATGTATATCATTTGGACAAATATACAATAATTGTATTGTTTCTGTACTTGTGTTTATAAACTCAAACACTTTCCTTGCGCAAATACACATCATGTACATTATTCTTTTACATAATTTTCATGCATAATTAATGTTCAATCTTTTCTATCAATATGCTGAAAGTTCAATTTGGGAATAAAGAATAAATGCAGATTTATATTTCCTAAGGTTATCGCACACACATATATATACATTTAAAGGGGTCTGACTAGTCATGCTTACAAATAGGTACCAACAGGGTTAAGAAAAGTGTTCTATGGGGGCCCTTCACTCGATCCCCATATTAAGCTTGTCACATCAACAATTTAAGAGTCTTATTCTATTACAACAACCTAATCAATTTAATTTCCCTTATAAAATCAATGTATAATTGTAATGAAAAAATATGTACCTGAATTTTTAGTTAAGTGTGAGTAAGCCTCCACCACCCCAACTCCACTTAACAAGTGGCAAACTTATAGATTTTTTTTTTACCTCAATGTAATTCACTTTTATATAAGGCCAAATAAAAAAATATGTGTGGTTCCGGTTACATCTCCAAAAAAATTAGGGTAAGTAGGTAGGGATTTTTTTTCTTACAAAATGATTTTCTTTATATTTCTAAATAATACCTATCACTGCTTTGCAAGTGGCATTTAGATATGGCGTGATATACTAGTCAACATTGGTAGGGAACACCTACATGCTAGCTTGCTTTGGATTTAACACTATCAAAAACTTGCACTATGTGTTGAAATGATGTTTTGCAAGGAGGCCGCGATTGCTGAAACAAACTAATACCTGAGCCAATGATGGAAATCGGGGAAAATTCTAGAAAAAAATATGAAAATTGCCGGAAAAAAGTTTAGGGTCGGGGGTATAAAATAGGGACGGTCGGGTAACCTGAACCACGCATATTTTTTTCTTATTTGGCCTAAGGGTTATGCTATAAAATGACTATTTGCTGAATAGCTGCATAAAAAACATGTAATTTAGACTTTTATACCAGAGGGAATATATATGTACTGTTGCTTAGACATGGTCATGATCGCGGACTATTTTTAAAGCATGTACAATCAATATTATTCAATTCAAAGCATCTACAATTTTAACCAGTTTGAAAGATTATAGTTTTAGAAGTTAAAAGTTTATGAAAATAATTTATTTATCATAAAAATATAATCATTTTTTTTTACAGTTGAATTTTTATCTACAGGTAAAATTCAATTTATTCAAGAAGTGGTTCATCTGTTTTTATGCCCCCGTATCAAAGATTCGGGGGTATATAGTTTTTGCCCTCTCTGTCCGTCTGTCTGTTTGTCCGCAAAAACTTAAACATTGCCCAAAACTTTTGATTGGTTGGAGCTATGGCTTTCATATTACACATGTGTATTCCTTGTGGTAAGACCTTTCTTTGGGTACCACCATTTGTGACCATTTGACTGTGGAGTTTGACCCATTTTTGCAAAATTTTACCCAACTTTAACATTGGCCATATCTTTTAAACAGTTGGTGTAATCCTTGTGACAAAACTTTCTTTGGATACCAACAACTTTGACCCTTTGACCTTGACCTTGGAGATTGACCTACTTTTGAAAAACTTTGACCTTGGCCTTAACTTGTGAACGTTTGGTGCTAAGGCTTTCATATACTTCACATATGTAATCCTTGTGACAAGACCTTATTTGGATACCAACAACTTTGATCCTTTGACCTTGACCTTGGAGATTGACCTACTTTTGAAAAACTTTGACCTTGGCCATAACTTTTGAATCGTTGCAGCTAGGGCTTTCATACTTCACACATGTTATCCTTGTGACAATTAAGACCTTTCTCGGGATTTCAACAACTTTGACCCTTTGACCTTGACTTTGGAGATTGACCCCTACTTTTGAAAAACTTCGACCTTGGCCATAATTTTTTAACCATTGCAGCTAGGGCTTTCATACTTCACATATGTTATCCCTGTAACAAGACCTTTCTTTGGATACCAACAACTTTGACCCTTTGACCTTGACAATTGACCTACTTTTGAAAAACTTTAACCTTGGCCATAACTTGTGAACGGTTGATGGTAGGACTTTCATACTTCACATATGTAATCCTTGTGACAAGACCTTCCTTTGGATACCAACAACATTGACCCTTTGACCTTGGAGTTTGACCTACTTTTGAAAAACTTTAACCTTGGCCATATCTATTGAACCGTTTGTGCTACATGTAGGGCTTCACACTCCACATATATAATCCTTGTGACAAGACCTCCCTTTGGATACCAACAATTGTAATCCATTGACCTTGACCTTGGAGTTTGACCTTCTTTTGAAAAACTTAAACCTTGGTCATAACTTTTAAACTATTGGTGCTTCAGCTTTCATATTTCACCAGTATATTTTTTGTGAAAAGGCCTGTCCTTCGGCACCATTAACTTTGACCATTTGACTTTGACCTGGATGTTTGACTTACTTGTTGAAAAAAACTTTAACCTTTTCTATATCTATTCAATGGTTGCTGCTAGGGCTCTCATATTTCACAGGTATATTCCTCGACACAAGACCTAACTTTGGATACCAACTATTTGATTTGCATTTGAGAAAGTTTAACCTTTGCTATAAGTTGCCATACGGGGGCATCAGTGTTTCACAAACACATCTTGTTGTTATTGTTGATAGTGGATAATTAATTAACTTTATAATTTGTATGTAGTTAATTAAACCCGGTTTTTCAGTATTATATTAAAACAGTATGTCCTTGAACAACAGTTCTTAGATTGGGGCTATAAAATGACCATATACATGTATTGCCCCATATGCTAATTTAATAACTTAATTTGTACTATATCTTGCTGATTGATCACTCAGATGTAATATTCTACATGTATATAGCTATCTAGGAATATTATTTTGATATTTAAGAACCCTTTAACCACCCTATTTTTATTGCTTTGTATATTAATTATGATTTACAAAATAACTTTAATAAGTCATACAGGAAAATTATTAAATGAATAAAGTTCATGATACTCATGATGTCATCACTATCAAATGATAATTTCAGTGAATTATTAAACATATTTATTTAGATAGCTTTATATTTATATCTGCATGCAGAAAAAAATTAACTTCATTATATAAATCTGTGAGAGACTAACTGAAAAAAAAAAAAAATTGACTGTTTGTCCAAACTATAATACAGAAAAGATGGGTTAACCTGGGACAGCCATTTGTTTCTGAGGGATGGTGTGGCTGGCTGATTTTATAATAAATACTCTGTCCTCCTAGATGTTAAAAAAAATAAATAAAATAAAATAAAATAATCTGTCCTTGCCTCAGGTGTTAGCTATTGGCATCCCTCCCAAAAGCATTTTTCCCTATTGTTACTTTGTTTGTTTTATTGATAGACTTTTTGTTCTATGGAGAAAAAAAATAAATAATCTTTCTCCAATTATCCTGAAAGTTAATAATCTGTCCTTCACTGGCAATTGAAAACAAATATATAGTTGTAATATTTGCCTGATCAATAAAAATTGCCAGCCCTTAATCCAATCCCCCCGGATCAAATGGTTGAATTGCCTTGTTGAAAGTGAATGCACATGTGATTTTTTTTTTAGGAATATGCCAGGTTGTGGGCCAAAAAATTATCCTTGCATACTTTGCAACAAAAGGACAAAGCCTGGTGAAAGACGGCCTGTGAATAAAAGCACAAGAAAGATTTTAAGAAGAAACTTTATGACTGAGTGTAGAGATGGAGGTGTTTTATGCAGAAAATGTAGGAACAAATGTGATGCATTAAAAGAAACACCACATCAGGCAGAGAAATCATATGGACCATCCTGCACAGCTCGGCCCATACATAGCCCTGTTGGAAAAAGTACTGTAGGAAGTATCAAGAGTCCACCTTCTGTGACTTTATCTTTACTAAGCACAGTAAACAGCCATGCTTACTGTGTTTTGTGTAGGAGACCTGGTCCCAAGCTAGTTGTGGTTTCCACACAGGCAAGGTTTAGCTTTTTCCTGGAACAGAACATTCTAATACCTGCAGGTATGAATGGTTTTCTTAACATATTAATTATTTATATCATATTAAGGTGTAGAAGCCATAAGATATTATTAGCTCAACTGACCTGAAAGTCTGCAAATTTTTTCTGTCAATGCTTAGTAAAATAATCATGCATCTTGTCAAAAAGACTTTATATCTGTTTGTACCAGGCATGCATAATTCAGTGTATATACTGTGATATTAATAGAGGTATAAACATCTTTTTAACAGGTTCTCGTTGTTGTCCAGCACATATATTGAATGATGTCATAATCACAAAGACTATAGAGAACCCAATACCACCAAAGGACACAAGTTTTGTTAACAGAACTACTATTATGGAGCTTGTTGAGCAACTACGACAAGAATCATTAAGAAGAGGATCAAAGAGATTAGACTTTGATGACCCCTCGTCATTATCAGAAAGAGAGTATTTTACTCTCACTGGACTGAAGAAAAGTGAATTCGATGATTTGTTATCATATGTTGAAGCTGGAGACATAAGGCCATCAAAGTCAAGGAGTGTTAGAACCTGTTTAGCAATCTTTCTGACCAAAATGAGGACAGCTATGGATAACAATATGCTGGGAGTTTTGTTCAACATGACTAAACCACAGGTTGGAGAGAATTAAAAATAGTGAAAATTACATTTTAATTAGTTAATAAATATAAGTTGAAGTATGAGATATAATTTAGATTTATTCAGATTCTACATTAAATTATTTGTATCTGTTTAGAGATACAAGTGAAATACCAACAATGTTCAACTGCAGAACTTTCATTATTTAATGGGCACATTTAATTGTGATGATTTAATTAACTTTATTTGAAGATGAAAAAACTTCGATCTTGATAAAAAGAAATGTGATATGAAGCTAACTTAATCATTTTTGTTTTAGATTAGACGAGCTGTATCCACCATGAGACAAGCAATTAGTATCAACTTTGTCCCAAATCACCTTGGTTTCAACCATATTAACAGGGATACTGTTATCCATGAACATACCAGACCCCTTGCCAAAGAACTGTTCTCTCCAACCCTCAACCAGGCCATATTAGTGCTGGATGGAACATATATATATGTTCAGAAGAGTTCACAGTTTTCCTTTCAAAGGCGGTCATACAGCATGCAAAAACAAAGGTAAGAAATATTAAACATATTATTAAATATGAATTTTTACTTTTGGGGGCATATTTTTGACTTCTTGACCTTGGGGTTTTATTTGAGCATTTACCAGGTAGTTTAACTTTGGCCATGCATGAGTTAGCTGTCATACAGGGGCATCAGCAAAGTAATAAACTGATTTATAATTTTATCATAGTATAATTTTTGCAAACTGGGTTTCATGGAAAGAATTTGCAACTATTTAAACATGTTAAAGATTATATAAAATGTAATGTAAGTCATAGTTGTAAAATGAAAATTTTATAAGCTATAATTTCGTAATTACTAAGTGCATGACTATTTATTAACAGGCATCTACTGAAACCAATGATGATTGTTACAACCACAGGATACATTGTAGCTGCCATTGGACCATATTTAGCTGATGGGAAGAATTCAGATGCAAACATTTTAAAGCACATCATTGGTTCAGACACTCAAGAAATTAAGACTTGGCTTCAAGAGGATGATATCATGATAGTGGATAGGGGCTTTAGAGATTCTGCTGGAGTGCTGGAAAATCTTGGCATTCATATGGAGATGCCGTCCTTTTTACAAAAAGGCCAGAGACAACACTCCACAGAGGATGCCAATAGTTCTCGTTTAATTACAAAGGTATGCATGCATGTACCATGCACTCAGTAAATGAATGTTGATTGATTATAGACATGTAAGTAAGATATGCACACATGTATTGGTATATTAACAGAGATTATGAATTTTTCGTATAACAGATTAGGTGGGTTGTGGAATCTGTAAATGCTAGAATTAAGACGTGGCGCTACTTGGCAAGACAGCTTCCAAATTCTCAGATCCCACATGTTGGCGAATACGTGCGAATTATTAGTGCAATCTGCAACAAATACAGGTACACTTAATAGGTTTAATTAGAAAACTTTAAAACAGCCTGAACATATTTAAATTCTTATTATGAAGATTTCAATTTAGAATACATTGTAATTGAGCTTAAAAAAATTGTTTTAGGCCCCCTCTCAGCAGTGGTGATGAAGAGAGTGATTTACAGATGGCAGCCAAGATGCGATACCTCTCTACCCAGACAAATCTGCTACAGATGGAGGTAGAATCAGAAAATCTCTTTAAAAAACGGTACATTTGGAGGAAGATCGATGATGAAAATATCACCTTAAATGACTTTCCTAAGTATACAGAGGAAGAAATTCGAGAATTGACTCTTGGTGTGTATCAAATTAAATTGGCAAAGTCTTACACCCAGGAACATGTGAACCAGGATGGATATGAGATTTGGATTGACAAGCACAAACCAGGCCTCCTTGCTGCCAAGATCCAGAGTAGACATATCTCAAGCAAATGCTACCTGTGCTGGATTAGGTTTGAGGATGGTGTCGTGACCTCTTGGTATTGCCGTTGTAAATCAGGAGCAAGAGTAGTTGGAACCTGTGCACACGTTGCTAGTGTTATTTGGTACTTGTCCTTTGCTAGATATTCTAACGTGATCAACCTTGAATTAGGCAAGAACTGGTTAGACAATGTATGTGATGCAGCGGACATTCCGGAGGTAGTTGATGAAAGTGACAGTGAAACTGAAGCCACTGAGGAATGAAGGCAATTTAACTTGTTGATTGTGTATTTCAAGTTTTGTATTGTTCATTTAGGTTGACAGGTTATTGGAATTCATTTTTTCTTTTGTCTGTTTGGAAATGTTCATGTATAACTTTTTTAAAAATAATTCCTTGTATAATTTTTTTATGTGAGTGTAATGTCGGATGCGGAAATGGGCCGCTCCACATGTACATTTTTACGTTATCAATTTTCTTGTTTAATATTTTAGTGTGAGTGTAATGTCGGATGCGGAAATGGGCCGCTCCACATGTACATTTTTACTTTATCAATTTTCAAGTATAATTTTCTGTGTGATTGTAATGTCGGATGCGGAAATGGGCCGCTCCACATGTACATTTTTACTTTATCAAATTTCTTGTATATTTTTTTTTGTGTGAGTGTAATGTCGGATGCGGAAATGGGCCGCTCCACATGTACATTTTTACTTTATCAATTTTCATGTATAATTTTCTGTGTGAGTGTAATGTCGGATGCGGAAATGGGCCGCTCCACATGTACATTTTTACTTTATCAAATTTCTTGTATATTTTTTTTTTGTGTGAGTGTAATTTCGGATGCGGAAATGGGCCGCTCCACATGTACATTTTTACTTTATCAATTTTCATGTATAATTTTCTGTGTGAGTGTAATGTCGGATGCGGAAATGGGCCGCTCCACATGTACATTTTTACTTTATCAATTTTCATGTATAATTTTCTGTGTGAGTGTAATGTCGGATGCGGAAATGGGCCGCTCCACATGTACATTTTTACTTTATCAATTTTCATGTATAATTTTCTGTGTGAGTGTACTGTCGGATGCGGAAATGGGCTGCTCCACATGTACATTTTTACTTTATCAATTTTCAAGTATAATTTTCTGTGTGAGTGTAATGTCGGATGCGGAATTGGGCCGCTCCACATGTAGATTTTCTTTTTTATCAATTTCAATGTTTAATTTTCTGTGTGAGTGTAATGTCGGATGCGGTAATGGGCCGCTCCAAAGGTAGAATTTAATTTTTTCAATCTTAATGTTTAATTTTTCTGTGTGAGTGTAGTGTCGGATGCGGAAATTGGCCGCTCCACAGGTAGATTTTCATTTTTATCAATTTTCATGTATAATTTTCTGTGTGAGTGTAATGTCGGATGCGGTAATGGGCGGCTCCACAGGTAGATTTTCATTTTTTCAATTTTTATGTATAATTTTCTGTGTGAGTGTTATGTCAGGTGCGGTAATGGACCACTCCACATGTAGATTTTCTGTATGAGTGTAATGTCAGATGTGGTAATGGGCCGCTCCACAGGTAGATTTTCATTTTTTCAATTTTCATGTAAAATTTTCTGTGCTAGTGTTATGTTGGGTGCGGTAATGGACCACTCCTCATGTACATTTTGATGAAGTTTGATACGGAAGTAGCTTGCTACATGTGTAGATTTTTCTTTCAATTCTGGTGCAATAATAGGCCACTCCACTTGTAGTAAATTTTTCTTTGGAAAATAGAATGTGAGTGTTCTGTCGGATGTAGAAATCGGCAACTCTACATGTAATCTTCTTTTTTCTGTTTTGTTTGTTACATGTATATATTAACATTAATGTTATGTAATTATTTTAAATTTTTTATGATGATCTTGATAAATATATTCCTCAAAGCCAAAAATACAAAGTCTTATTGCAAAGTGTATCTGTGTTTGTTGTTTTTATTTTTGAACTCACAATCATGGAACATGTTTTATTTTTTAAAGTGATGATTTTCTTATACAGCTGCTAATTGGAACAATTTGAGACTTTTACCTTTCATATCAGAAAAACGTAAAAAGAATTCATCCCATATTTCACAAAGTTTTAAAAGGAAAAAGTATTGTACAGTTCCAATTCTGAATTCCCCATTAGACAAATAAAATTATATTTTATCACTACAGTTATTTGAGTTTACATCAGCAGTTTTGTATGGCTTTGCACATTCTCTGTTGGTAAGTTAGGAATATGATTTTATTTTATTCTTTTTTAGTTGACACTTTTGTCAGTGGTCCAAATTCAAAATCCAATTTGCAAGGTCATCATAAACTAAAAGAAAATGCTAATGAAGACATGTCACCTATTGCCTGACTCTGACCCAAAAATATGTTATTTAGATCCACTCTACTGTATGTATGAGTTTTGACCAAATAAAAAAGTTAACTCCCCCCTTCCTTCCTTTCTCAGCGCAATAGCGACGTAGTATATGTTTTTTACTTTAAATAAAACCTTAGAGTAACTCAGAATTTTAGGGTTCTGCAGTCAAGACCCAAAAAGATTTTATTGAATGTTTCATATACATTGTATGTTCAAAATATGCAGATGAACTTTTCTGTATATTTCTTAGATTGCAGGTATGTACATATAGTATCGTTTTTGAAAGGGGAGGGGGGGGGGGGGAGCAAACTCGAAAAATCCTATTTCCTTGGGGGATTCTTCCACAATCAATTTTTTTCATACATTACCACATAACCCTGACTTTGACTAAGCTGCAACAAAAAGTTACGGAGGGGGGAGGCAACTAGCCCTTCAATAAACATTTTCAAGAGTGAAATATATAAAATTGTTTGAAAAAAAGGAGCCCCCCCCCCCCCCCACTTTGTGCCTGAGTTGTCATTAATATTAAATAATGCTGAAATAATTTCTTTATTTTTAATTTTGCTGCCCATTATTCTCTTTTGCATGAAGAATTTAATATTGTTTTAAATTGTAATAATTAATCTCAAAAAGGGCGATTTTCGGCATTATAACAGAATAAACTTAAGTGCAAATAGGTCAAAATTAATGTTTAAGTAAGCTATCTTTCTTTGTTTACTCTTCTTTTTTGTTACCAAAACTTCATTTCAAGGATCTTTCAGCAATCTCAATCTAATTTTTTTTAACATTACTGAAAAAATAAAATTAATTTATTTGTGGAGAAAAACAAACCACACATTATGCAAACAATTTGACTACATTATGATATTCAGATATACATGTATCGACACTTTGGAGGCCATTCTTTTTTTAAAACGTTCTTTTTTGTGCAATATATTATCTTTGAAGTGAATAAACTATGCAGAGTAAACATTTTAATATCATATCTGTTACTTATAATATACATTGATACATTAAAGTTGTTCTTAAAATGATCTAAATTGACGGCAATAATGACGTCATAGTGCTCAAAGCGGTTAAATGCAATAAAATACATTCCATCTTCAGAGGGTCAGTGCAACGTAACAATAAAAGATAGATGAAAATTTTTAATATATTAATAAAGTGTACATCCTCAAGACATATCTATATAATTATTTTAAATTTTCAAAGAAAGGCCGATTTTCACTACTAACGTACCTGGCTCTTTAAGAAAACTCTGTCTATTTTTTTTTTGTTTACATGTGTATAAAAAGGCGATTTTAATCTTAGTACCCTAACTGGCTCCCAGAATGTTTATTGCACATCTACAGGACCAGAGAACTTTAAATAAAACATACCACAGGGTCTGCCTCATCTGTTTCATATTTAGATGTTTTACTGACTATACACGATAAAGGATAATGAACAACTAAATTGTATGACAAACGAGATGACTTTAGCTTTTCCATTGCCAACCTTCCTTATCTATGTAGCAATATTGCACTATCACCAGCTTATGGTGTTTATGTCTCCCAAATTATTCGCTACTCAAGAGCTTGCTCTGAGTACGATCAATTTTTAAAGCAAGGCAAGCTACTCACTGATAAGTTAATGTTACAGGGATTTCAGTAACCTCGTTTAAAGTCAGCAATCGTAAATTATATGGTCGTTATATTAACCTTGTTAACAAATACAACATATCATTGGGTCGTATTTTGGCTGACTTGTTTCATACTATTTGTTAGGCCTTTGTTTTTGTACTGAATTGACTACGAATAGTTTCGTCTACCTGATCAATACATAGGGTTCCTGGCTGGTGTGGCCGGTCAACAGGGGATGCTTACTCCTCCTAGGCACCTGATCCCACCTCTGGAATTTCAGAGGTCCGTGTTTTATGCTCTCTTTTCATATTTGGAGTGTTTATGGAGTTTTTGAGATCGATCACTTTCGTTATCTTTACCTTTCACAATGTTAAAATTCTTAAAACATGACTTTGAAGAGGAAAGTTGTTTTCAATTGGTTTCAATTGATTTTTCGGATGAAAATGACAATCCAAAAAATTATTGTTCATATACAGGACAATACAAGTCATTTTGCAAAAGATGAAATGGGAGCTACGTAAAATGTAAGTTCTTATAATAAAGTTCCTTTTCATATATGGTTGTTTTCAACCCCCAGAATTAAATGAAAGATGAATTTGTTATTAAATCCTTTTTCGTTAAAAAAAAAGAAAAAAAAATTAGGCCCAAATTTGAGCTTAGGAAAAAATTGGAAGATTTGGAAACTTATTCTACATCTACAGGACACAATCAATCATATTCTAATATTAACTCATTTTGTTTTTTGCTTGTAAATAAATGAGTTTAAGGATAAAGATAGTGTGACTGAAAGAATCAACAATATAACAAAACTTTCCTTCTGTGGGTATAATAATTTTGATGCAATTTTTAAATTTTTGATTAGCCCACCTGAACAGCTGCCCAGTTCCCTTGATGCTCGCCCGGGCGTTGTTGTACCAAGTGGGCATTCCTTACAATCAGTCTGTCCAAGTTCATCCTGATAAAACCCATAGTCGCATTTTCTACATTCTCCATTGATGAAAAAACTCCCCACTCCACATGGTACTACAATCAGGGAATATGAATTGGAAAGACCCCTCAACATTTATAAAATTTAAAATTCTTTTTTAAAAAAATGTTGTACCGTTTAAAAACCGTAGCATTTGTTGTACAGTTTATTTACCGCTGTGTTTGATTATTTACTTCAGTTTTGTTGAACAGTTTTCTGACCGCAGTTTTTATTGTACATTTTACTAACCGTCGTGTTTGTTGTACATTTTATTTACCGCAGTGTTTGTTGTACAGTTGACTTACTTCAGTTTTGTTGTACAGTTGACTTACTTCAGTTTTGTTGTACAGTTTTCTGACCGCAGTGTTTGTTGTACTGTTACTTATTGCAGAGTTTGTTGTACATTTTTCTGACCGCAGTGTTTTTTGTACAGGTACTTACTGCAGTGTTTGCTGTACAGTTTACTTACTTCAATTTTGCTGTACAGTTTTCTGACAACAGTCTTTGTTGTACAGTTACTTACCGTAGTGTTTGCTGTTAAGTTTACTTACCGCAGTGTACACCGGAGCTGATGTATCCTATATCACACTTAATTTCCCCCCTGGCTGATGTATGATTTAGATTTATCATGTACATTTCAGCGCTTATGTTAAGAGCAAGTTTGTCTATTGATTACAATTCTTTGAAACTTGCAATAGCATTCACTATTTCATTAGCGCACACTTCGGAGCCATCTGATAAAAGAAAAAAAATATGGTTCTATATTACAGACTTAGTTAACTCTTGCGAACTTATTTATTTTATTTTATTTCATTTTCAAAACGCTGTATCTAATATGAGTTTGCATTGACAATCTTTGACATATGACATACGATCTACTGAGGAGCATGTGAACTGGATTTTAAACCCAGCAGTCATTTTTGTCTCTGCGACTTCTCTTTTCTTCCGTGTAGCCTCCTCTTTGCAGTTCAAGACAATGACGTCACTAATTGTGCATATATTGTTGTGATTGCAGGAAATTTCTCCAAGAAAGGCACTGACTACCTCTTTTATTTCAGTGCTGATATGCAGATAGTTTTTGTTGTCACATATTAAGTCTTCGTAATATGCAATAAAATTAGCTGACAATTCCTTACTTTCCTTCGTCGCTGTCAAAAATAACATTCGATATATATTTATCCTGTTTGCTAAAATCGATCATAAAAAGTACATTACATTAAATTTTGAATTTTTCTAGATTCTGACTTGATCAAAAATTTTAAAAATATCGTATTATATGCAGTTCCATCATATTGTTTTAATTCTACGAGTCTTTGTAAGACTTTGTTGGGAAAATAAACTTAAACTTAGAAAGAGCAAACAACATTTCCTTTTTTACCATATCCAAACTATCATCAAGGACTGGCTAAAAATACAGAAATGTATCTAGGTGCTTAAAGAATTTCAAGAGTGAATTACTGCGATTTTTTTTATTAAATAAAAGTGATATTCTCTCACAATGTGAAAAGATACCAAAGTAATATTCTCTCACAGTGTTAAAGGATATCAAAGTAAGTAAAAATAATTTATGGCCTGTAATAAGATAGATATAGTAACTAAACCATCTTCATAGAGACTAAACCCGCCAATTTCTTTCCAAATATGTTGCTAAAATCCATTTTACAGTGTCTCAAATCTCACAACTGCTAAGCTATGACGTCTCAAATGCTCAATTATGACTTCACAGCCTATGTCACTGTGTTGAGAAAAGACAGGGGCAAAGGGAAAATAAAAAAAATGTAATAAACAGAAAATTCAATGTTTTGTAGTTGGATATGGAATTTATTTCACTCGTGAGACAGGTGCTTTGCAATCGTGAAAATTTATATTTATATATAAAATCCTGTCCCACTCGTGAAACAAATTCCATATCCAACTACGAAACAGCGAATATCCCCTATTTATGCGGCAAATATTTGTTAGCCTGTAAATTATGCAAAAAATAAAATAATAAAATAAAATGAAGGTAACTTTTTAAATATGCTTACAAAACATAAATCAAATAATGTATTGTCTCAATATCTTTGTACTCTATAAACTTACGGTTGCATGTTGGAAGGTAACCGTTTGGATTATCTTCTGTCTTAAAGTCCCACAAAAAGAATGTGCTAGGTCCACACTCATAAAACGGCTTAACACCTTCATCAAAAGCATATCCACGATCACAGCTAACGGTACAATTAAATCCAGTGTCTGGTGTCCCGCTGCAGTTTAAGGAACCGTTCACGGGTGCTTCCAAAATTGTACAAACTGAAAAAAATGTCCCTCAGTTCTCATAATTTATAACTTAAACTTGTACGTAGTGCATCAAATTTTATTGACCAAGAGCTATGTTTTGTATATTTTCTATAACAAACATCAGTTCAAAACGTCATCCTTCCGAAGTTCCTTCCCACTGTATTGCAGAAAGGGTATCATAAAATTCCAATGCTATTGATTTTTTTGGAGAAACTGGGGTACGTGTAGGCAACGCATTCAATAAAGAATTTCTGTACATGTACGTGTATATTTTTAAGTAAAAACAAAAACGAAACGAATGATATAAATGACAGAAACCATAACGAGATCAAAACGTTTTTTTTAAAGTCATTAAAGTCATTATCCATTGTTATTAAAATTTAGGAATTGAAGAAAGCCATTGTTGAACCCTTTCCTATTGATTTATAAAATCTATTGTAGGTCAATTTGAAGATAGCGAATCTTCATATAGTTATAAATCACCTGGACATGTTTGGACAAAACATTCTGCAAATTCAGTGTCGTTGCCGGCACACGGTTTTCCTCCATTATATGGGGCGGGGTTGTTGCAGTATCTCTGACGAGATTTTCTTCCATTGTCACAGGTTTCCGAACATTGTGACCACTCATCCCAGCTACCCCAGTTACCATTTACTATAAAATTGAATCTTGAACGTCGAACTTCTATGACAACAACAACAACAAATGCAGAAATTGCCTTATCCCAAAACTGGATAATTTATAAAAAGTGTGTCGCAATGATAAAACTCACAATAAAGAGATTCACAGAATCTTCCTTTGTAGTTTGGTGGACATATACATGTGTATCCATTGACCCCGTCCACACATGTGCTGTTATTTTGACAGATACTGGTCAGGCACTCGTTTATATTCTCTTCACAACGCTCCCCCCTGTAACCCGGGCTACACTCACAGGTAAACCCACCAAGCTTGTTAATACACGTATTGTTCCCGCATGGATGCTCATCACATTCGTTTATATCTATGGATAAATTGCGACACTTTAGCAAATGTTTAAATGAAAATGGTTTAAGCAAACTATAAATATTTCTATTCAGCATCTTATAAAAGGAATATTTATTTAAAAATAAAAAGTAACTGTAAATTTTAGTTCTTGTGTAAATTTTTTGCTCAGTGTTCAATAAGAATACAAATTTTGTTTAATTTTTACTAATCAAATAGGACTTTTCAGCATCACTAACCGTCACACATGCTTGGTATCTGTATTGTACTCTCCTCTAGATAAGAAAGTTTCCATTCTTTCCAGGACAACACGTCCCCCTCATCGCTTATGATACAACGATTAAATTGGTTATCTACCTCTTCTTTGGTGTGGTTTGAGGACCAAATATTCAGTTGAGATACAATAAGTGGACCTATAATATATATATATATATATATATATATATATATATATATATATATATATATATATATATATATATATATATATATATATATATATATATATATATATATTCTCAATTTGGTTTGCCTTTTTTTTATAATGGCTATGTCAAATTACATTTCCATCAATACAAGTATACATAAAAGCCACTCTACCTGTTAACCTTAAACTGAATGAAGTGTTTTCATAAATGGAAGACACATTGAACGTCTCTATCTGTATTGAGAACACAATAAAGTTCCATTCTCCATCATCAATGGTAATGGATGAATTATCACTTGGTTCACTATGAAAACAAATGAATTTATCTGATTCGAATTTAATCATTTAGGTTTGCCCAAATCAAGTCTCAATTGGTTATACTTTACTCACTTTGTTTTAGGCTCTATCAATATTTCTTTAGACCAGATATCGCCATTCTGAAAGAACATTGATGGAGTTGATATCTTTTCAAAGCCGATAGGAAATCGGAGCCATGCACTGAGAATGACTGCGTCTTCTACACGAGTCATATCTATGTTAACAATAGCCTGTGATTCGGAAGAGCCGAGGAAAATGTCGAAATCTATAGTGAAAGGCAAAATCATATTAAGTTAACAGTGTGTAGTGGACATCCATCATCATAACTAAAATAAATAAATATATAAATAATAAACGTTACTAATAATATAAGTGGCAATAAAGATATAACCTGACTTTTTATATTTAAATTGATTTTAAGCAAACCCATTTTAAATAATATTCTGTTGCGAATTATTATATTCTTTTATATGCTAAAATAAGAGCAACAAAAATCTAAATAAAAAATAAATAAATGAATAAATAAATAAAAAATACACTGCATAAAGATCTAATATAGAATTATACACTTAAAATACATGTGATATTCATTACAAAATTAATCACTAAAACAAGAAAACAAACAGATTTGATTCCTTGACACTTACAGGTACAATCAGTGGCTTCACTGCTGCCCTGAACCAGTGTTGTTTGTGATGGGGGACAGGAGGTACAAACAGAGGTACCATACTCTTCTGCATAGGACCCAAGGGGACAAGGTGAACATGGTATCACCCCAGTCACAGACCAGTATCCCGGCGGACATGCATCTGTAGAATATCATAAATGGGTCTCAGCCTCAAAAATAACAATGGTTCAAATTCATAAATATGAATGTCCATTTTATTAACATAAATATTAATGTCCATTTTATAACTACCTAAGCATTCGTCTTTGGATTTGGCTCCTACTTGTGTCGTAGTGGTCCCTTCAGGACATTGATCACACGAGGGTTTTCCCGGAAATGACTGGTAGTGACCCTTATTACACTGCAGACAGGTCTGAAGGGTTACGCTATAGTGTGTACCTGCTGGACATTCCACTGTAGAAGAAACCAACTTTCAGATTAATCAATATATTTCAAAAGTGTATATTGTTCATTGAAAATTTAAAACAGTCCAATAACTAGCACTTCAAGTGAATAACTTTTACAAAAATATTTAAAATATAAAAATAATACGCGATTATAAAATATCGATTGCACAAGGAACATTCTAATACTAAGATGAAGGCTCTTGTAGCAAGATATATAACACTTTTTGTAACTAATTAATGTAATTTTTCCGGGAACTCAAAATTAAAATATGACAAAGTGTATATTCTCACAACAGGAAGCAGTTGTGTCCGAGGGGAATGTGTTATTCGGACACTCATATGAGACCTTCTCTGCAGAGAGATTCTTGGATGTCAAAGTCACGTTATTGTCTAATGTTATCACCAGACTTCCGTTTACACTCTTGTTTCTTAATGTTTCCATCATACTACTCTGAATGTTTACAAAATCCGGCGTTGTTTCGGATTCATCCGATTCTATGACAAAATCAGCAACAATTTCCATTTTCATATCTGCAGATCTCCTCCTGCCTGAATCACCACACGTTATCTGTCAAAAATTAATCATTGAGTTTCAAATCTAGAGTTTACAATCGTTCATTCATAAGTTTGAGTTTACAATCTAGAGTTTACAATCGTTCATTCATAAGTCTTCAAAAGACATCACTATAAAAAGTACAATACAACTCATATCATATTTTATTCAGAATTATATCATATACTTTAATTTTTAGCCTAATATTTAATTCATGATTACCGTGACACTTGCTATTCTGCACCGACTATTGTATTGCAGACAAGCGTCTGTGAGATTGGAAGAGGACAGGGAGTCGATGTAATTTTTTCGAATTATCTCCTGCACGACTGGATCCTTGCAGTTTCCATCATAATAAAATGATGAATACATCTTAAATTTCGCAGAAGTTACATTGTATGTCTCTGTAAATTTGAAAGTTAAAAAAATCTCTTAATCAGAATGTAGGCTAAATTATTTTTTCTATGCTAGAACTAACCAAAACTTTGATCCAAAAACACATTTTTAACAAAATTAAGTAGAAGGAGCATAATTAGTTTTTATTATCATTGAAATAGTAAAATTCACACAACAATGAGCTCTTGATGCAGTAAATAAAATCGATTCCCAACCCCAATATATTCGAAATTCATTTGTAACAAATTAATAATAAAATGTATTTTATGTTTTCATAAAACATCCCTCATCACCATCACTACATCCCGAAAACGAAACTCTTCTCTTTGTTTTGAATTAAGAGTGAGATATGTTTAAAGTTTTGCTTCTAAGGATTACAAACAAACTTGAACAATCTGGTATAGGAAGGGCGTTCTCTGGTACCCAACTTCCACGATCCTTTCCACTGTCTCCACAAACCAACATCTCATAGAAAGGGTATCCAGGCTTAAAGTCATACCCCTGCTGACACTGAACCTGGCAAAACTTTCCATCCAACCACGAATCACAGGCAACAGCACCATTTTGTGGTGCAGAAGGACTAACAGCACAACTTCTGTGAACTAACAAGAGTCAAAAGGCCTGAGTATTATACAACACTGTAAAGGATCCTTAGAAGTATAAATTAATAAAAGGTAGATGAAGCTATGTTTTTCAAAGGTTAACTTAGTTAACAGTAGTTAATTAAAGTATATACTTTGATTTTTCCATGAAACTTAAGAATATTTTTGAGATATGAGATTTCAAAGCTTAAAATCTCTTAAATCCACAACACATGATGAAAACATTAATTTTGAAATAATGTGTGAATATACAAATAATAGTTCCATATAATATAAAATGTACTTGTATGAACTGGAGAAGATAAAATATAACAATTTGAAATCAAAAGTAGAAAGCCTTTGATTTACTATAATAGTAAAACCTTTGAAATACTATAGTAAAAATTTGACATTAATAATAGTTAACTATAGGTGACTATAGTAATTTTTGTTAAGGAGATGCTCAGGAGCATAGCAGAAGATTTTCAAAGAAATAATTTGTTTGACTGTACAATAACACCGTTCGGGCCAAAAACCAGACGTCCTGACCCAGGGGCCAAGAAATTCATTATTTTAACTTGGAAGAAATCGTTCATCTTAACTATGCAATTTTATATTTATCTATGCAGAAAAATGTCTGCAGAACAGGATAATATTAATAAAAAAAACACATTCTTTTACAAATTATTCTATAGAAGTGCATATTAAATTCCTCCATAAATATAATATGTCATTACAAGTTGTCATTGTATATTGAATAGATTCAATATCCTCCTTAATAAAAGTTACATACGACAGATTTTAAAGCTAATTTTTTGAGATAGTAGCTACAGAAAGAATCCTATGATGTCTGTATTAAAGCCCCTATACAGAAGAATCATTTCTAATCTTAAAACACTCTCAAAAAATCCTTTTAGTACTTTATTTTTTAATGAGATTCCAAGTTGCAAAAATACCTTGTTGGCATTCTAGCATGTGCTCTTAAAAGACCATGCAGTTTTCCTTTTCTTAATTTTTCAAGAAAAAAGTTTTCTCTAAGAAAACATTATTGCTTTTGTTTTGTGATTCCATACACTCAATGTCTTCTATTAGTGAGTTTTCAAGTTCATCTTTCTTATTGTACGACAACATGAAATGCTAATTTCCCGTATTTACATTGGAAAAATTGATAGAAATAAATTGACATCAATACAAGAAAAACAGATATATTCATCATCAAGAGGTGTAATGTTTTGAAGATATTTCATTTTTAGCTCACCTGAGCCGAAGGCTCAAGTGAGCTTTTCTGATCAAAAAGTTTCCAGCGTCCGTCTGACGTCTGTAAACTTTTCACATATTCGACTTTTTCTCAAGAACCACTGGGTCAATTTCTACCAAACATGCCACAAAGCATCCTTGGGTAAAGGGGATTCAAGTTTGTTCACAGGAAATGCCGCGCCCTCTTAGCTTTATGGGGGAGATAATTAAGAATTCGTGAAAATTAGGTGGCATCTTTAATAAATTTTCTTCTCAAGAACCACTGGGCAAGAAAAGATGAAACTTATGTGAAAGCTTCATTACATATTCTAAATTCAAATTTGTTCATATCATAGCCCCCAGGGGAAGGACGGGGCCACAAGAGGGGGTCAAAGTTTTACATAGGAATATATAAGAAATGTTTTTAAAAATCAAGAACAGCTAAGCCATGATTAGTCATATCATTACACAAGTATTCTCAGGTAGTGCAGATTCAAGTTTGTTCCAACCATGAACCTGGGAGTGGGGCAGGACCCAACAGGGGGATCAAAGTTTACCAAAGGAATATATAGGAAATATCTTTAAAAAGCTTCTTTTCAAGAACAGCTAAGCCATTTTTAGACATATTAATACAGAAGTATCCTCAGGTAGTGTAGATTTAATTTTGTTCAAATCATGACCCCTGAGGGTAGGGTCGGGCCACAACAGTTGGACAAGGTTTACATATGAATATATAGCTGTAATGGTTAAGGGGCATTTGAGTAAAACGCATTGAAGACTTCAAATAGTGGAATGACCTGACAACCTTTGGAATGGATCAGCCTAAGGGTATATAAGGCAAAGTTTTGGGAAAGCCAGGCATTCAGAAGGTAGCTGAAGAATTTGTATGATGAATCGGCAATAAAGAAGTTAAGGCATTCCATCCCAATAGCAAGGGATTCAATTGAAATTGAATACATAACAGATGTGTGGGTGTTGAATACTCAGTATATTTAGACATAATTCCCATTTATTACTATTAGCATGTAAGGGTGGATGTGTCCTAATTTAAGACCTTGAATTTTGGTAAGAGTTATCTCCCTCTGTTTTTAATTAATAAAAAAATCAATTTTGAAAATCATACCTGGTAAAAAAATCATTTTCAATTGTCATTCTATTTCTAATATGTTTTAGTGCATTTTTTCACTACAGCATTTAATGATATTCTTATTATTTGAATTTTTATTTTTGAAAAATTGCTCCATAGACTTCAAAACAATCTTTGTTAAGTATTTAAGTTCTGGATGTAGTAAATCTGAAGAAGATTGAGACAACTGGTTCTTTATTAATGGGAACCTAGGGGAGAAATACGGTGCAAGTAGTATCTTACCCAGTCCCCATCTCTAGATAAGAGAAAATTTAAGTACTATGTGATAACCCTCAGACATAGCTGTCTTAATAATCATTCCAATCATTAACTCAGACAGAGTAAAAGGAAAACCTGTATATCACTTGTAAGAACCTGATCACGCACGTTACATAGGAAATATCTTTGAAATATCTTTGAAATATTCTTCTCAAGAACAACTAAGCCATTATTAGTCATATTCACACAGACGCAACCTTAGGTATTGTAGAATAAAGTTTGTTCAAATCATAACACCCCCAGGGGTTAGGGCACAACAGAGGGTCAATGTTTTGCATAAGAATATATAGGAATCATCTTGTAAAAAATCTGCTGCTCAAGAAAGCAAAGCCATGATTAGTCATATTATTATAGGAGCATCCTCAAATTAGTGTAGATTCAAATTTGGTCAAATTTACGGTGGGTAGGGTGGGGCCACAATGACCAATCAGAGTTTATCATAGGAATGCATAGGAATTTTTTTCAATTCTTCTGTTTGGGAACAGCAAAGCCATAACTAGTAATATTGATATAGAAGCATCCTGAGGTAGTGTAGATTTAAGACCCCCCTTACAACTTTTCAATATACTGAACTGATTTCTGCTTATTCCTAGCCAGTGTGCTCAGGTGAGTGATGTGGCCATAGTCCTCTTGTTTACTTTTAGAATGGCTTGATAGAAACTTCTTTAGAGTTAATAAAGAGATTGAAATAGACGACAATCGACCTCAGAAAATCAGCTAACCGAAACAAATCTGTGAACGAGGAATAAAACATGACCCCAGATATTCCAGAGTGGGATTAGGTGCCAATGAGGAATAAGCATAACCATATTGATCACATTTTTATAATATCATAGTTTTGTAACATAAAGATTTTCATTTCAATTACCATTATGTGAACAAATGTGCATTTTCCTATCTGAAATATGGTAATAACGAACAGAATGGAGCTCAAACATTCATTGAATGAAATATTAAGATAACGAACAGTAATCATGCTTAAAAGTCCATTGAAACAATACAAATCACTAGCAGAGCAAACCTCTAAAACATCAGAGGTGGGATCAAGTGCCACGGAGGAGTAAGCTTCCCTTGCCATGATCGGATAAACAGAAAAATCTGTAGACAGTTCAGCGTGAAAATAATGTCCTTACAATGTGTATGAAAAATGTCTGTCAACATTTGACTTAATGATACATTATATTTGTTGACAAATTAAAGTTATTGTACCGACCAAAGAGTTTGTGAAATGATGAATGTAAACAAGAATGTTGATTTTCTTGTTTCATCAACTTGTTTGTAAATAGCTTGACGCGTTTCAGATATTGTTCGTTCGTTGATCATACGTTTGCCTATTGATTCAACTAGGAGACATAAACTCCATTTGTTTGGGATAATGGAATATTGTTACATAAATAAGGGAAGTTGACGACAGAAAACTTGAAGTCATCAAGTATATAATATAGTTTTGGTCTTTGGTTACAATAAACTTTTTTTTCTAGAAAAAAAAATCCAAATATGAAACAAATGTATCAGACTTTGTGGTATCTTTTATCTCGTGTTCAAAAGGATATTTCAATGATGTCAATTGATTCATCAACTTCACAATCGTTTTATAAAGCATAAAAACAAGGAAAATTTAAACAAGGAAGACCTTTTTCTGTAAAAATATAAGGTTTATTATTTTTTTCTTATTAAAAGAAGTAAAAATTAATACTTCCTAGCATTAAATGCAAAAATGTATCATACATACTTAAAATGATGACAATGTAAATATAATCAAATAGAAATATGATATCTTTTTCCAAATGCAAATAAGGACACAGAGTAAATCATGGGTAAAAAATAACGTTTTAGTAAAACTCGTGAAAAGAACACTTCCTTGATGGGATTTAATGTTTCCTCCTTATTTTCTTCTTTGTCAAATAATTGGAAGGAGATAATACTTCGTGACAGGGGTGCGGTGCGTAAAAGTAAATGCGTAGTCAATGTAGATTGGAGTAGATCATGTATATAAATAATTTGTAGCATTAGAGTAAGCATTACTTTTTTATTTGTCCATGTTTGTTCTGCTCCAAATTTGTAGTGTTTCAAAGGACTTTCAGCTTGATTTCTATTTGTAATCTTCATATTTCAAACAAATACTCGTGTTTTGATATAGGCTGATTAAACACAGCCATGAAAATAAGATCAAACGATGTTGAACAATCATACTAATTTAGAAAGGCTAAAATAACTAGAGTTATATATAATAACAAAATTTGAATAATAAAAGTAAACGAAACCAAACAATTTTCTCCATAGATTTGGAATTTAAATATTTACAAAAATTACACTTGAAGCACCAAGTGTCTAAAAAAGGTCTGGTTGATGATAATGAGATTTTCAAACAAAAAAATTT